TCGGGAGGGGGTCAGAGTGTTGCAGGGTGGATAGTGGCCTTTGGCCATGAGACAAATGCGAATGGGTGGGAGTTAACTAACACACGGACAGGGACATGTGTGCTGCTCGGCAATTTCAAGTGCAAATATTGTATTTGAAAAAAGAAAAACATCATGCAATTAAAAGGCAATTTTGCCGTCACCCACACACACTGCAGGCGATTACCGAACACATAGGAATGGAGCAAAAACAGCACATAAAAGTTAATTATATCAAAACGAAGTGGAACTTCCCCAAGGGATTTAAAATTAAGAAACAGCACAACATAATAATGTGACAACATTTAGAACTTTTCCAATTTAACCTTATTAGAAAAAGTAAATTAAAAGCTACAAATGTAAAAATATTATTTACATCCCATTTTTTAAAATAGAATAAAAATAAAAAAAAATGCAATTTTAAAATAAATTTGCATTGATTTCTGGGAATTTTTAAAGGAAATTGCATTGAGTACTGCAATGCTACATTTAAGCCTCAGCGAAATAAAAAAAAATTGACTTTTTAAAAATTATAATCAAAATTGATTTTAATACACAACAATACAAAGATTAAATTTCCAAACTTATCACCTAGTTTTACAACGTCCCTTAAACATAAGAGTGTAACTGCTTCGTACACATTAGGAACCCAAACTTAATTAATTTAGATAAATACGTATTTTATTTTAATACCAACTAACCTCAGTTATCTAAAGCTATAAATTTATAGAAATGGTCAGTTTTCGGTTGGTAAATTTAAGTCAATTAAGTGGGTCGGTCTAACCATGTTTGTTGGACTCCTAACCATTTCATCGCCCCAATGGAAACTTTAAACTGTTGACAGTCTGTTTGTTTAGGGCCATGAACACGTCTTTGGCTTTGCCGCCTCTTTTGCGGGGCGAAAGCAAATATTTGGTTTCAACTGGACGGCGGGCAGTAGAACAAAGGGCGGTTAAGAATTGGAGTGGCATCTGATAGTGACGCATCCTCAGATGGCAGCACATTCCCCCTAGGACAATGTGTGTGTGTGCGTGTGTTTGGCAGTTGTTGTAGGAATCCGGACAGCAGATATATAAATTTAATCAAGTGGCCATCGTTTATTTCCCTTTTGATTTCGACAAATTCAATTGACATTCGATTTTATTATCTCCGCTCCCCAAAACCCAATGCCGTTTATTAACTACACGCTTTGTAAATGCATTTCATAAATTTATGATGCCAGCAGATGAGTATTTCCTCAAGGGACTGTGTAATAAATACAATTCCGCCTGTTTGTCCCTTGTTGTGCCCGTGTTTGTATTGGCAAATATTTCATATATCATCGTTGTTCACATAGCAAGGATATCTCACTTTATATATCTCATTCTGTCGCTTCAAGCGGGAATTTCTATGGAATTTCTGTTGGCCCGTGCGTACTTTGGCCCAAGACCATTTGAGGTTTCGGTTTCTCAATGTGTTTGTGGGGATAACAGCTTTCTGTCGTCCTGGCCACGGCACATAGATTTTAATTAAGTCCACTTTCCCCCAATTTAATATTTACAGAGATGGTGTTAAGCATAGAAACTTTACTGGTAGTACTGGGGTGGGAGTACTCGCCCCTACGAAAAGTCGCCTCAAAAATTAAAGTTCAAGTGGAAAGTGGCGCAAAGTTTTTCCTTTCTACTGGGAAAGTTTGCCGTGGGCAGCATCTTAGCGTTTAAAGAAAAGCCAACGTAACAAACAACATCTTGAGGTTGAAATGAAAAGTGTTTTTCCCAACTTAAGAGAGTCGAAGAGAGAATATTGTGCCCTCTCTGGGGCTGAAAACTTTCGGAGTAAGTCCGAAAACGAAATGAATTTTGCGCCCACAAGTGGTTGTCCGTTTAAAAATTAGAGTGTGGGGCTGGATTTCAGCAGAAGTGGGAGGAGTTTGAGTAAGTGCATCATGCAAATTGCAGTACTCAAAATTGAGCCATGGATCTGACAGAGCAAAAACAAATAGAACTTCACTTTGCGAAAGTTTCAATATATAAATGGAGTTTTAAAGAATTCTTAGCCAATTTAATTGGCATTTTAATAATCAGTTTTAGTTCAAAGGCGAGTATAAGGTAAACCAAAGGATAAGGTTAATCTCTGTGAACACAAGGATACGCGGTTGACAAAACAACCCACACATGAGAACTTTGCCTTGGGTTAAGCACTTAGAAAAAAGTAATTAAAGTTTTTACAAAATTTAAACATTAAAAGCCTATTAGTTTTTACCATTGGAGACCTTTTTTTTTTAATGTATATAGATATTTAAGTTTTTTCATTTTAATTGTAAATAATTATAAAAATACATACATTTCCAAATCTTCATTGATAATTCCTAAAAATAGGTCAATTTATGGCAATGTCAAATGAACAGGCAATACAAAAAGGTTTTCAAAAGCTTGGTTTTTAAGGCGAGAATTAATGAAGTAAAAAGCGAATTTTGTTAAAGTTTAAATATATGCTTAAAAATATATCGATAAAATTTTAGCTAATGATGTTTAAGATTTTCATGTCACATTAATAGGTCAATAAGTATCCATATTTAAGTTTCGTAACATAGTAAGAATATATTTTCCATAAATGTATTTAAAATGATACGAAATTTGGGACTCAGAACCATTACTGTACAAAAATTTGTGATATATTTGTTTGATATTTGATTTCGGATATTTGATGATATTTGTTTTCTCTGTAGTCTATGCTTGCCCACATAGTCACCGTAGACACCGTAGACACCGCCAACGTCTACACGGCAACAACAACAATGGGCAGCTTGACAGACAGAAACGAGAAGCTGTGTGAGTGGGTGAGGGGTGAGGGGGGTTGAACGGGTGCGCGGGGTGAATCCGCTTTTGTTTATCTACTTTAAACTAACATCAGGCACTTTTGCTATCTAATCCTGACCAACCCGACAGCTACTTAATGTCATCAGTGTGCCACTCGCTGGCATTTTCAACAAGGACATTTGGAAGTGCACAACGATTCGGGAGGAGAAAGTGGGGTATGGTAGTGGGTATGGTAGTGAGTATTGGTATGGTAGTGGGTATTATGGTGGAAACAGAGGTCGACAACGCTAAACGTTTGCCATCGGGGCTCAGATTCACCGAGTGCAAATTGAATAATCGTTTGCGCTTCGCCGCATCTACAAAAAGGACCTTTTAAAAGTTCCTCTTGTCCCTTTGTCCCTGTTGTGTTTGTGTGTGACAAATATCGATCATCAAGGACGCCTGATGGACGACCAAGACGCACAATTGTTTGGGTTTATTCTTGTGCTCCGCAAAACTTCTGACCGACTTGTCTGAAGAGTTTTCCTTTGCCATGCAAAAAACTTTTGCCGTCCCTGTTTTGTCAAGTTTGTCATTTGTTGGACATTTATAAGCAAATCCTGATTCGGGTTCGGTGTGGGCTTGGGCTTAGGTTTAGGTGTGATTGTGGGTGTGGAAATGGACCTGCTCCTGGACGGAATGGACTGCGGGTCTCGTTAGCATACATTGAAAGCTGGTTTGGTTTTGTTACCAAACTCTCGACTAAATGAAATTGAATGCCCATCCCAAGGAGTTCAACTCAACTGTGAGGGCTTTAAAAAGTATTTGCAAGTTCAGAAGTAGCAGCAGAATATTTAATTCTTTTGGGAAGTGCTCAAGCGTTATTGGACTCGACGCGAGGAGGGCAAAAGTTATGGATTAACAACGTTAAATGGTTATTTGTCGTTTAAGAAGTATTCCCGTTTGTTTTTGTTTCTGTTTTCTGATGGTTGTCAAAATTAAGAGGTTTAATTAAGAAAGCATTTAAAACTTTTTTTTCTTAAAAACAACATTTTCATAATGAACCAAATGATTGAACTTAAATTTAAATACTTTCAAGAGTAGCATTAGCATTCTATTGTTTTTTAAATTAAAAAATTATTGTACTTAAATTTCAATACTTTCTAAAGTATCTGAAACAAGCATTGGAAGTCATTTTTACTATCTGATTAAGGTATAGATAAATAACCATTAGCTTGGCTTGGTATAAAATACATTTTAAAACATTTGGCGGTATTTTAAATATATTTTTTGAAATTTAACAACTTCCTTGAAAGATTTATTTGAGTTTTCCGAACATATGTATACTTATTCTAGATAGTTGGAATCGTATAATTTACTCAAGCACTAAGATGTTTAATTGTGCAGGCCACTCTTCTTTTTATTTGCAACCCGGATGAGTTGCACAACATTTATTCGCGCTTAAAACTTTGATCCCCAGCTTGGATGCAGAGCACTTTTCAGTTAGTCGAAACTTTGGCCAACAATAAACCAAATACCAGAGCCGAAGTGTGCGTTGAGCTCTTCGAATTTGTCTTAGATCAATTCCCAAGGGTTCCAGGATTCTTGGGCGAAAGTTGGCCAAGGCAAAGTCTAAGGCAAACAGCAAGGACTTAACTTTGGCCGGATGCCATTGAGACTTGGAGACTTGGACACTCGGAGCCTTGGGCGCTGGCCTTTTCCGCTCAGCTCAAGTTGAAGGCACTGGCACCTGTGCACCATTGCCATTGCCATTGCCATTGAGCTACAAAGACAGCAATAGCAAATATGTGCATAGCATTTAACGAGTGGCCATCGCTTCTGGTCGGACATTCGGGTGCACGTGTGGATAAAATTCAATTTCGAGCCATTGACAAACAAACGTGATGAATTCGGGGACTGAGGATATACCATGGAATTAATGTGAGCCTGTCGAAGGTCGCCACTTCGACGCTTGAACCATTCGTTGAGGACTTCAATGCTTTTGTGAATTTTATGTGGTCATAAATCGCCGGCACAGCATAGAGTCTCTCTATCTCAATCCTTTGCTCGTCCTGTAAGCTGGCGTGTATTTATGGCCAAAAGATACATAGATACTCTGCTCGATGTTCACACACATACTCCAATCCACTCCACTTCAATCCACCGCACTCCACTCCACATAAAACAATGAAACAGTGTCGACGATTGTTTTCCAATTTGTGTAATTTGTTGTTTATTTTGTTTATAACTACATCAATAAATTATGTATCGTATCGTATAATTCATAATCATACTCTTTGAAAGCGTGAGAACATACTGGAATTGCAATTCGGCAGCTGGGTTCCTGATTCTGATTCTGCTTCTGATTCTGCTTCTGGTTCTAATTCATTTCAAAGTGGTCATCTGTGAGGGGACACTCCTCCACTTTCGATGCCAAAAGTCTAGTGTGGTAGCTTCGTTCGGAAGTCTGGGCGTTTTTCAAAGAGTATATGCGGTAAGTATTTTCGAAACATCGGCCAGCCGAAGATTGTTGAATTTGCATTTATGTTATGATTAACTTGATGACAACATCGAAGATCGACTGTGTGTGGGCTACTCTACTAAGAACCGTCTCTCATTCTTCAATTCTCCTCCAACTTGGACACATTTAGTTTAATTTTAGATTGATATCTGCTTGCTAGGCTGGCCAGGCTGTCTAGTTACAATAATATTCATAACTAACTCTTTAATTTCTTAGTTCGCGCAGCGTAAATCGTGTTTGCAATAGCTTTCTCAGATTGGCTGGGGGGATTTGTTTAGTATCTGTTTCTGGATTAGTTTGGTTTGGGTGCGTGTGTGTTTGTGTGTTTGAGGTTGTGGTTTTCTGGTGCGTAGTGTGTGGTGTGTTGTGGTGCGGAGAACCGAATTAATAAGGCCACTTATCCATATATATGCAGTATGTACGTAATCGTAAATAGTCAATAGTCAGTTATGCACACATCCCCTGCCATTCCAATCCGATTGCCAAGGACACTGGGCCCTACACTTTCTACATGTCTGATAATCCCTCGCCTTAGCGCCTTCCATTATCCATTGAAAATATCGCCTTTAACTTCTAGCCTTAACTAAAGTGGCCTCTAGGTATTTATATGCTTGTGTTGAGAGTGGGTGAGAAAAATTCCATAAATTTTGTGTGGCTCTAGTTAGTGATAAGTGTGCCAAATTTGGTGTGTGTGTTTCAGTGTTTGTGTGTGTGTGTCTAGAATATTTTATCTATCCAATAAAGCTGCAATTATTTTGCGCTCGCGCTAGTATTTAATGTTGAACAATACTTTTGTTAGTGGCGGCTACTTTTAATTAGAATTATATGCTTATTAGTTCCGATTCGGGGTTAAGGATTCGTTTCACTTGTGGTTGTTGCTGGTAGTGCATTCGCTTTTCTATTTCAGGTTACGCTTTAATGCCTACTAATGCCATTTCAAATTTTTCATGTCGATCACTAAGCCGAGGATAAACTAATTAACTACGTTCTCATTATTGTTATGTTCAGCTCAAGTTTCTGCATCCATGTACATTTACATATGCTAATAAAAATCCATCTGCGGTTCCTCATCTCAGCCCATCGTAATATCGTAATATCTGAATATCGTAATATCGCAACGTGACAATTGGACAATTGAGCGAGTGAGCCACCGATCGATGGATCGACTCCAGTTCATTTAACTATGTGTACGCTATATAAATGTATATTTGCCGATTCGCCTCTTGGCTAAATGTACAGTAACAGATATGGGCCTATATTATGGGTTTGTATGCGGCATTCGCTCTCGCTAAACTCTCGCTCTCGCCTTCGGATGCGTCGCTTCGATTAAACTGATCAATGGATCAATGGGATCGAGCACTATCGACCCTATGTACAGGATTCGTGGGGACGTGTTCGTAATAGGCGGTAATACATTTTATAATTTCATATGTAGCAACAAAAATAGTCTAATTGTCGATGTAAAACACAGGAAATAAATTAAGCGCTGGCGCTGGCGCTGGCTGCTGTATAACTTAGTCGAATGGTTATTCATTAACATTAAACGTAACTCGAGTTAGCTGGAGCAAGCACGGAGATTAGCGACTGCTGGTTGCTTGGCTGGCTGGCTTTCTGGCTTTCTGGTTCTCTGGCTCATGCTTTAGTGGTTGCTGAAGTAAAAGTTGTTGTTGCGTATGTTGCCACGGGTTCGCCAGCGGATGCAGCTGAGCAGGGCCACGCGGGCTGCGCGCAGCAGGATCTGACCGTAGGCACAGCAGGCGCAGATGCGCCTCACCCGCTCGGCCAAATTGCGGCGACGACAGCGACGGGCGGGACGATGCCAGCGGGGCAAGTCCTGCCGGCGACGCCGTCACTTGCGGCGTTGGAAGACGCGCCGCAGTGCCTTGCGCCAGAAGAAGCGCTGCGACTTGCTCTTCGTGTGCAGCTGCGGTTCCTCCATCTGGGCGGCAAGCCCCACGTCAAAGTCCTCCACCAGGTCCACGTCTTCTGCTCCAACGGCAATGCGACGACGTGTGGGCGTGGCCGGCGCTGTGCGGGCCGTGCTGGTGGCCATTGAAACATGGGGCTGTGGAGTGGGTGGCGCCGAGGCTGTGGTCACAAAGGGTGCAACTAGATAAGGACGGGCCTTTAGTGCCGCCATTGCTGCCGCCGAGGTGGAAGCAATTGATGAGATGGACGCCAATGTGGCCACCGATGCCGAAGATTCCACATAGCCACCGCTTACTCCTCCGCCGCCTTCTGTCGTTCCCGCCGCCGCCGCCGGCAATCCCGCTCCTGCTGCCGCAACCGCTACCGCTCCCGCTCCATCTGCTGTTGCTGGCTGGGTGGCACGCAGCCAACAACCAGGTTGCATCGTATCTTATCTAAGCCACGGGTGCTGCAGACACTCCGCGGCGGTGGCTCGCTTGGCCGGATCGAACTCCAGCATGGGCTTGAGGAACGAGGCAAAGGACTCCGCCTCGCTGTGCGACCACTCGTACTTCTCCAGCAGGACGTCCATCAGGCCCCAGGGCTTCAGGCCAGTGATGTTGCGCAGCTCGCCGCCCCGGTTGAACGACTGCTGGGCATAGGTGCCGCGGAACACAATGTTGCGCGGTATGGGACCCAGCAGCTCGATGATGTGCGCCAAATGGTCCTCGTCGCGGGAGTAGGTGTCGCCGGAGTGCGGCTCAAACAGATAGTCGCCGGTGGCCAGTTCGAACACCATGCAGGCAGTGCTCCAGATGTCCGCCGAGGTGTCGTAGCCGGAGCCGAGAATCACCTCCAGCGAGCGATACTGACGCGTCTGGATGTCCTCGGTGAAGTGGCGATCCACCCAGCAGGCATTGCCCAGATCGGCGATCTTCACATAGACGCTGCACTCCTCCAGCGCCGGATCCCGTCTGGCCCTGCTGTGCTTGGCCTGCGGTGGCGGAGGAGGCGGTGGCAGCATGGGATCCGAATACGGCCCATTTGTGGCCGACGACGAGTTCTCCACGGAGCCGCTTGAGATTTTCGAATTGCTATTCGAGTTGGGCTTAGAGCTGGAGTTGTTATTGTTTGTCAGCTGCTGATTCGATGATTGCTGCTGCTGCTGCTGCTGTTGCTTTTCCAGTTGCTTCTCCTGCTTCGGTCGCAATGGCATCTTTTTGCCATTTGATTGTCCTTTAAGAGTGCCGCTCGAGTTGCTGTTGCTGTTGGTGTTCGAGTTGCTGTTGCTAATGCTACTACTGCCATTGATCTGGTGGCTCTTGAGGGCGCTGCTGCTGTCGCCGCTGCTCGTCGAGTTCTCCAGCTGTGGCGGCTGCTGAGCTTGCGGCTGGTTGGATTTGTCTAAATAAAGAATAGTTAATTAGGCATTTAAAACCAAAGTCTTTGGGAAACGGTTATAAAAAGTAATAAAAAAAAGGTTACAAGAGAAAAAAGAATTTGGTATATCTTAAAACACGGTAAACAAAAATTAAATTAAGTTTTAATAAGATGCGCAACAATTAACAAATTAAGTTATATTATTGCATTAAAACCATTTCCAAAAAGACTTTAAATTCATTATTTTTAATAAGTCAAAGTCACTTTCGCAAAGCATTGACCACAGATTATCTTGCGATTGTGAAATTGCCGTCTTTTTCTTAACAAAGAATAGACATTGAAAAGCAAAGTCGCATTTGAAGTTTAAAAACTTATAAGCTTTTTGTAAAAAAAAAGGTCTCATCGTAAAACAAAGTGAAATGTTCTCAAGTATTTAATTATTATAAAATAAGTTTGCTGTCATTTTCTATACAAAAAAACAAATTTGGTGCTATTATAGCATTAAGATTTAATTTTCAGTCTTTCGGTTGTGGAATTGGGATCAAAAACCACATCCGCAAGACTTTGATTTGACTTCATACTTTTCAAAAATGTTTTGTGGTTGTGGAATGTGTTTCCATTTAACAACCGCAAGACTTATTAAAAATTATAAAGAATAAGCCTTGGAGAAATAACTGTTTAATACAATAATGGCACTAAATTCGCAATTTGTTGTAGAAAATTTCCACAAACATAATAACTAAATGCTAAGCTAAACAATAAATTAAATTGTTTGTCAAAATTCTAGATGAGCAGAAGACCAAAGTTGGTAATGTTAGTTTACTAGTTAGCTTCAAGTTTTAAACCTTAAGTTAGCTTTATAAAATAATAAAGAAAATAAATGTTTTTTGGACCTATTAAAGTACTTACTCTTATTCTTCTTTTTCTTCTTCTTTTTGGCTTTGTCGGCGCCCTCAGCTTGTTGTTCCGACTGCTGTGCCTGCTCCTTGCGCTCCGGACGCTCCTTGCGCTCGTGCCTCTCCTTTCGCACTGGCTGCGCAGCAGCCACTTCCTCGTCCTCGTCGCCATCATTGTCCTCCGGCTCCTGCTTCACCTCCACGTCCTCATCGCCATCGGAGATGCCAGCATCGCCGTTCTGCACCTCATTGTGATTGACACCAAAGTCAGTCTGATCCTCGCCAGCATCCTGGCCTTCGACTGGCTGACCGCCCGCCTGCTCCAGGTAGTCACGCTGCTTCTTGAACAGCTCCATGCGCTTCTTGGCCTTCTTCTTGAGCTTCTTCTTGCGGTTCTTGCTCATTTTGCCGGTGATGGGCGGCTCGCGGTACTCCTTGGGCGCCCGGCTCACCAGCGAGGGATACATCTTGGAGTTCATGCAGTACAACTGGGTGGCTTCGGTGGCCAGCGAGCGGACATGCGGCTCGTCCACGCACAGCAGCACATTCTCGGGCTTGATGTCCGTGTGGATGATCTTGCAGCAGGTGTGCAGATAGTCCAGACCCTCCAGCACCTGGCGGGTGATGGTCTTCACGTTGCCCAGCGGTATGCCGCGATAGTTGGACTTGCGAATGAGCTTCAGTAGATTGTCCCCGAGCACCTCGAACACCATGCAGATGTGGGTGCCATTGACGCCGGTGATCTTGAAGTCGTCCAGCATCTGAACGGTCTTCTGCCGGCGTGGATTCGATGGATCCGTCTCGCGCACCGTCCTAAGTATCTTGATCTCGTCCTTGGCCGTCTCGGCAAAGTGCGGCGCCGACTTGACGATCTTTATGGCCACATAGCTCATCTCCTGCAGATCCCAGCACAGCCAGACGGTCGAGAAGTGGCCCCAGCCCAATTTTCGGATGACATGGTAGCGACCTGCAGAACAAAAATTGCATTAATCTCGTGCTACTCTCGTCAGGGGGCAAAGTTCAGGGGATCGGGGCAGGGCAGGGTAGCACAGAACCACTAAGGAAGATGAAATCACAAATGTTCGCCTCGGTCGGCAATAAATCCATTTTAATCGCATCACTGTCACATCACAACTGACCCAGCGACTAGCCGACCGCAGGGCAACTACTACTACTGCTGCTACTACCCGCTTAAATTCAATTAAGTTCCGGCAGTGAATGCAGTCGAGTGCGTTCTTTTCGTGGTGGCTACTTGAGTTGGACAGCCTAAGGGGTTTGTAAGAAACTGAAAAACTGGTTTCATGCTACAGCTCTCATAACAATGTTAAAACCTTTGCGAAATTTCGGTTGGGAAAGCCATTGCTAGCAGGGGTTGTTTTTAGAAGAGTTAAGACTTAAAGCCTTTCCAAAATAGGTCAAACTTGTCACTTGACACTTTCTTAGCTGATGTTCAATTAAGAATATTAATAAACTTAATTCAGATCAAGTTATTTTGTCGAAACAGAGCAACTAAGCATGTAAATGACAAAAACTATGTTTGTTTAAAATTTAAAAACCCAGATAGTAATAGTAATTTCAGAGAATCATTACAAGTTATTCTTTAAATTATACCTAATAGTGAATATAACATATTTATATAGTTCTCAAAATAATTCTCCCTCTTCATTATAATAACCTAAACCAAGTGAGATTCTATTAATAAACATTCCTTGCTGCAAATCCGCTTGGATTAATAAAAGAAGGGAGGGGGCAGAAAACTTGGTCGATTCGTTTCATAATAATATGCAGCACTATCAAGCGATTTTGTGGAGCTTTGCTGGTCGTTATCAGGCTCTCATAGGGTTATCACTGTCAAGCGATAGCTTGGATTTTCTTTCTGCAAAAGCTGCAGAGCCTGCAAATGGATTTGGAAAGCGGCAAGCTGGCAAGCTGGCAACTGGCAAGCTGGCAACTGGCAGCTGGCATTATAAAATGGATGGGGAAAACAAGCAAAGGGGTGGAGTTCCGGGCGACAATGTTCGGAGGTGACAGCAGCTCGCCCCCAAACGCTTTGCTGTTGCTATTGTTGTCGTTGCCACAACACGAGGAGAAGGCGCCTCCTCCTCCTCCTCCTACTCCTTGCTCCCCGAAAAAACAACCCTTGCCCAAAAGGGGGAGAGCCACCCGCTGTGCGTTCGATTTATCTGTGCTGTGCGCCTTTGGCAACCTGTTGTTGTTGTTGCTACTGCTACTGCTGCTGCTGCTGCTGGTTTTTATTTATTTTTTTTTTTTGGGTCGGTAAATGCCAATATGTGGAGGGGTGCTAACAGGTGCCTTACCCTGAAACAGGTCACCGATATTGACGGGGTGGTAGCCACCCTTGCAGTAGTCCTCCTTGAGCTCCTGCTCCTCGTTCTCGCTGTTCAGCTCTGATTCGTAAGACTCATTGGAGCTGCTTCGCGGTGGCTGCTGTTGCTGCTGCTGCTGCTGCAGATGCTCCTTTTTCGAGTTGCTCTTGGACTTCGGTGGCTGCGCCTGTGGTGGCTGATATTGGTCGGGAGTGCCGCCGGATCCTCCGCTGGACGTGGAGACTGTGGCCGTGGCGTTCACCTTGCTGAAGGCAGCCGAAATTGGCACATCCGCATGGCTATTATTAGCATTATCCGGTGCCTGAAAGTTCTCGCTGCTCTGATTCGGTTGGGAACTGGGATTCTGGCTGGGATTGGGCTGCTGATCCTGGGGGCCACCAGTGCCGTTCTGCTTGCCCCGCTTCTTGTTGTTCTTATGACGCTTCTTCTTCGCCTGAATGGCCAAAACGCGTCGGTTGACGTCAGCCTTGTTCATTTCGCTGCTGCTGGTCGCTTCTATTTTACTGCTATACCCTTTATTTCCGGCCAGGTGTAACAGCTGTTCTGCATGGCGAAGCAGGAGGAGCAGAAAAGAGAAGAAAGGTGGTTAGGGGAAGGCTGATAAAAATGGAAATAATAGGGGAGTAGAGAACAGAAACAAAAACGGCAACAGAAACACACAGCAACGTGCACAAATCTCAAAAAGGCAATGTTCGAGGTTCACGCTGTTTTTCTTGCTTTTGTTGTTGCCTCTGCCCTGTTTTTTCGGTTGTTAGATTCACGGCCCTCTCGTTTCACCGCAAAACACAGTGAAAACGAAGCAGCAAAATCGGCTAAAGCATCAGCTAATTGTCTACTTGCCTCGGGCTCCCACTTGTTTCCAATTAACACGGCTGCTGCTTCGATTTCTGCACAAAATTAGCACAAAAAATCTTCGCTAAACGCCAAATCCCAAAACTCGATTCCAGTGTGACCGCACCGCAAATCTCACAAAATACCATCGGCCCTGAAAAAATCTGCAAGAAACTGGGAATCAGTAATGCCAAATGAAACGGCTAATTTGAAAAATATGAACTTTAAAGAACTTGACAACTACGGAATTGAATTTGGTCCAAGTTGGTGTTGTTCTTCTAACTGCTAAAATGTAAGTAAAATGTTTTTAAAAATTACTTTCTGAATACACAAATAATTATTGTCTCTAAGAATTTACATTGCTTTATTAAGGTGATTGGTAAGCAAACATTTTACCAGAGTATATTTATTTATAACACCTAATTAAAATTAATGTATATATATCTACAATTAAATTATATTACATTCCGTACGAAAAGAAAACATGTCTATCACTAAAGTCAGTTAAATAAATGACTAGTAGTTGGTGTGTGTAATAAATTTAAAAAAGGTTAATAGCTAAAATAAAAAAATACGCTAAAAGAGGAAGCACTGATAACAAGGTCTACCTTTTAGTGCAGACTCAAACCAACAAAAAAACAAGAACACCAATAACTACGTAACGTAAGCGCACTACGTTATGCGATTCAGCTAGCTCGCTCGCACGCTGCAGCCACATAATGCCGCCTCGCTTGCACCCACTAGTACTTAATTCGCTTGGCATTTTCGCGCAGCGTTCGCTTTGCCAATGGCTCTCCAAAATGCAGTTTCCCCCGACTTACTTGGCTTCGCAAGTGGCCGCGGATTAGGCCAATAGCATCTCGATTCGCCGGCGTTGATCAGCTGCCGCAAATGCAGCTGAAACGAGCAAAAAACACGCGCACAACTAAAAATCCGCAAGTGGAAAAAACTGCTACGGAAAAAGCAACTCTGCGGGCGAGCAGTGTTGCAAGACGACGGGCGTGAACAGCTGGTTGGCCAGTGCTGTTGGGCGATCGAACGTTCGGTGACCTACAACACTAGAGGCGTTTTGGCGCAATTTTAGGTTTTGGAGGGAAACTGCATCTAGTGAAAAATCGTGTGGCCACTTGTAATTTGAGCAGTGCGCTGGCACGACGTGGTGACCGATAAAAGAATTAACAAGACTAGTGAATAGTGATTAATAGCCAGACGTGCCCATTTGCCAACCGAGCCCAAGTGCTGATAGACCATTTAGCAAGCTGCACTTTTAATTAGGAATAAATAAACACCCAAACACAGCAAAAGCAATGGCCCAGCCATCGGTAGCTGCATTTTTCACCAATCGCAAACGCGCCGCCTTGGACGATGCCACTGCCATCAAGAACAGGGTAAGCAATCCGCCCCAGCAACGTGGACAGATACAAAAGTATCTTTTGCGAGTGCAGCTAGCTAAAGATTGGCTTTTATTTTGCAGCGTTTGGCGGAACCCGCTGAAAGTGCCACTCCTTCACAATTGCCCACAACTGGCGATGGCGACCAGGATGCGGACTTGGACAACCTAAAGGCGGTGGCCAGCGGCGTTCGCACCAGATCCGGACGCACTGCAGCCCGTCTGATTGTCACCGCCAGCCAGGAGAGCAAAACCAAGAAGACACCAGCTGCCGCCAAGTTGGATGGCCACGTAAAGCAGCCGAAGCTGGTGCAGTTCATCAAAAAGGGCACCCTGTCGCCCCGGAAACAGGCCCAGTCCAGCAAGCTGGACGAGGAGGAACTGCAGCTGCCGTCGTCGGCCAACAGTGAGCTGACCCCTAAGCTGACCATCACCACAAGCAGTCAGCAGAATGCGGACAATGTGCAGCGCGGCCTGCGCACGCCCACCAAGCAGATCCTCAAGGACGCCTCGCCCATCAAGGCCAGCAGCGGGGTGGATCTGCGCCGCCAGCTCACCTTCGACGAGGTAAAGACCAAGGTCTCGCGCAGCGCCAAGCTGCAGGAGCTCAAGGCGGTGCTGGCCAGGAAGGCGGCCCTCGAGCAGAAGCGCAAGGAGCAGGAGGAGCGCAACCGGAAGCTCCGAGAGGCTGGCCCCTCCCCCTCCAAGGCGAAGATGAGCGTGCAGCTCAAGGAGTTCGACACCATCGAACTGGAGGTGCTGACCAGGTGAGCTAAAGACTTATATAATATTTACTATAGTTTTTAAAGTAATATGTTGGTTGAGCAGGGACTATATTCAATATTCTGATTTATATCCTGTGTAATATTCTTAGTCCAGGACATCTCCAATTCCCTCTATTGTGTGCTTCATTCATACTACTTAGTATCATAATGATATTTGCCTATCTTACATAAAATGTAGCTATGAAGTAACCCTTTCATATGCTTCTTTATATACTGTAAAATATTTTTTACAATGAATTTTACTTTTGAAATCTTATAACTTCAATTCAAACCTTTTCCTCCCTTAAAAAATATAAACAATTTTTGCATTCTGCTTTATATCCTTATATCCTTTTATGATCATAAGATTTACCTATCTTACATAACATGTAGTTATGAAGGTATGCTTCTTTATATCCTGTATAATATTTTATATCCTGGCTTTTGTCTTTGGAATCCTATAATTTCTATATAAAATATAAGTATTTGTTGCATTCTGCTTTATATCCTGCAGAATACTTGTATCAACCTTTTATTTATCTTTTGGCCTACGAATGATGCCTGAAATTAAATTTTCTGATTGACATTTCAAAGAAATAGGAAACAATCTTTATATGTAATTGCGTGAATACATGATGATAGATGCAAAGTTAATTTGATAAAAGATATGGCAATAGTTTCAATCTTTATAAACTGACATATTCCTGATTATGGATACGATACTTGTAATGTCCTGCACATCCTACATAGCATTGTGCTCCACAATATTTAAATCTATAATCAAGTTAGTATTGTAATGGCGCAAAATTTGTGCCTGCCACAACAATTTGGACTTGGCTGGCTGGTTGGTGGCCTAGAATCGGCATAAACAAACCACGGCGTATGGAGTGTGGACTGTGAAAAAAACCGGGTAACATCATTTAGCGAAAGGCCAGCAGTTGCTGCCGTGCCGTGCAGTTCTGCTGCAATCGAGGTCGCTCTCCGGGTCTCCGGGTTATTCAAGCGCTCGCTCGTCGGCTGTTGCTGAAGTTGCACATTTTCCGCCCAAGTCAGACTCTAGCAGTGGTAGTCACCGATGGCTTGGCTTGGCTTTGGCCATATTGTCGTTTTTCCACGAGCAATTGCTGCTGCTGATTCGTGACGTCTGCACAACATGCATAAATACTTAGCTATCTGGCTTGGCTGACTGACCCTCCCCATGCTACACTATGTGTGTGTGTGTGTTTGTGTGTATCGCTATGTGGTGTAGCTATATGTTTACCCTTCGCAGACGTTACAATCTTGCCTGACCTTCCCTTCCCTTTGAAAATGCTTATTTTCCGCCCGCATTCGGGGGTTGCTTTCTCTCCATCGGAACAAAATAAGGATCTTAACTGCTGTACTGCATGGGAATGCGAGTCACCATCGGGATGTGTGTGTGTGTGTATATTGTGTGTTTTGGTTCTGTCGCTCAGGTAGCAACCTTTTTTTCGTAACGGTTTTCTTCAAGGAAGTTTCCGAGGACCCCGAATAGGAACTATTTTCAAATAGGAATAGGCAAGGGAAATCCTTTTACTATCCCAAACCATTTTGGTGGTTCAGGAATTAACATATGTATGTACATATGTTTGTTTGGATTTTGCATAACAAAAGCTAGCTAAAAATCTTAGAAATTATGCATTTTATTAGTTTAACAATTTTACAAACGACAACCTTTAACACATTTGCAATTTTTCATTTAAAATATAATTTTCGTATGTTTGTTAATTGGCTAAAACTAACGAAACTATAAAATCCTTATATTAAGCATAATTTATAAACAACAATTTCTAAAAATAATTTACAAAATCCCCTTATTGACTTTTAAAATTATACATATTTTTAACATAATACAAACTTTAAGCACTATTTATCAACAAATTTACTCTCCAAGGTTTTAGCTAAATTTCTTTATGACTTTAATACTTCTTTAACACAACCAACTAACTTATAATAGATATATATAATTAAATCCTTTTAAGACTTTTAAAGTTGAACGTACTAATTTACTGATTATACCCCCTATTTATCAATTCTAGCCCCCTGAAGACCTTTAAGACACCCACTAAACTACCGCCTCCCACGCCGGACAAGCATGAGCTCATGTCGCCGCGCCACACGGACGTGTCCAAGCGTCTGCTCTTCAGCCCGGCCAAGAACGGATCGCCCGTCAAGTTGGTGGAGGTGCCGGCCTACAAGCGCTACGCCAGTCTGGTGGAGGGATCGCGGGCCGGACAACTGCCGCTGCCGTACAAGTACCGCCACTTGCTGGACGTGTTTAAGGGACTCGACTCGGTGGTGGCCATGTTCCACAACCGCAAGGAGACGATCAGCTTCAAGAAGCTGAAGCCGGCGGTGCAGCGCATGCTGCGCAAGAACTTCACGGAGACCCACTTGGCCCAGATCAGGCACGTCTATCCGGAGGCCTTTATCTTCAGCCAGGTGAAGACGCGCAACTTTGGATCCGTGTCCAAGGCGGACTACTTCCAGCTGATCATCAGTCCCAATGTGGAGCCGCTGCCCGAGCAGCAGCCGTCGGAGAAGCCGCAGCGCTTCGGCAAGATCGACGAGGACGATGTGCTCGCGTCGGCCCAGTCGACGTCCATGAATCCACACGTCATGACGGCGCGCATGCAGCGCTTCCAGAGCCTGCTCCTCGAGCGGGTGATGCGAGCGCACGACCAGTTCCTGCGTTCCCAGGATCCACCGATCATCATTGACAAGGCGCTGACCCGCTGGCATCCGCAGTTCGATCTGGAGAGCTGCCCGGAGGTGGAACTGGCCCCGCTGCCCCAGCCCCCGAATGTGGAGAAGTACTCCTCGGCCAAGGACATCCTGTCCACCGCTCGAAATCTTTTCAACTGCGCCACGCCCATGGAGAGGGCCATGGATCGCTATGAGGCCAAGTTGGAGGCGGACAAGCAGGCAGCAGCCGAAGGCAATAAGAAGGCGGAGGAGCAGCCGCCAGGTATGGGCACTCAGACCAATAAGGATGTGCCTGGACCATCAGGAGCTGCGGAAGAGCCAGCTGCAACCGATCAAACGGCCACTGCCAAGCCAACGGTCAAAGAGTGCTCCGCCCCAGAGGCAGGCTCCAATTTGCTGAAGGGACTGCCCAAGTCGCTGATCGAGAAGATCCGGGCCAAGCAGGCGGCCAAGGCCTTGGAGGCGATGACGCGGCGACCCTCGCAGGATCAGGAGGCCACCAAGTACTCCCGCTTGCCGGAACTGGCCCGGCACCTGCGCAATGTCTTCGTCACCGAGCGGAAGGGTGTGCTCACCCTGGAAGTGGTCATCAAGAAGATCCAGAACAGCTTCCGGGCCAATCTCACGCCGCAGGAGATCGAGGCGCACCTCAAGCTGCTGGCCAAGGAGCTGCCCAGCTGGGCATCCTTCCATGAGGTGCGCAAGACCATGTACCTCAAGGTGGCCAAGGACCTGGACATGAACAAGATCATCGAGAAGCTGGAGAGCGTGGCGAACGCGAAGAGCAACTGAACCGGATACACGGAGGAAACGCAACCAGGACGCGGGACCCCGTCGAGCAATGACCCTGTGGCTTCATCCAGCTATAGCTTTAAGTACCTTGCTTAACTAGCTAGCCCAATACTTGATAATGCAACCAGATTAGGCTAAGCTTCCAAACCATTCTGACATCTACTAATACATCGAACATCCACAAGCACCTTGACAACCCAGGATCGGATTCATCACATTCATTACCCAAGCAATCATTATAACTAATTCTATTTGGACCAAGCGTTTATACATTTATATTTGGTAGTTTTAAGATCATTTTTCATGTTGTACCACGTTGAATAAATAAATATTTTTGCTGGAAAATTGTATATATTTTTGAATTACTTTTTGTTTTGGGAGATGAAATACGATAAAAAGATATAATTTTTATTTTTTAGAATATATTCATTAAAATTGTTCAATTTGTATGGTCTTTTTTGATGCATATTTACTGAAACCTGTTATTGCTCCGATTTCTTAAGCTAATTATAATTTGTATGGTTTTATTGGATTTCTTACTCTTGATACATGTTTTTCACTCATTCGGTAAATATTATAATTATTTTTTTAAATATTCTCACTTTTGGTAAATTTATACAAAACCTGGTTTCAAAATTTGTTGTAGAATAATAATTAATACTTACAAACAACGCCCTCTATCGGTAGGTGGCAGAAGCTTATTTTACATGTACCTTACGTTGTAATGTAACTAGTTCTTGTTTACAAAATAGTTCCCAAGAACTTTTGGATCTGGTCACACTTAGGCCAAAAACGCGCCATAATCAGAAGAACAAATAATATTGTTTATTTATGTAAAAACCATGGAAAAAAGCGACCAAATAGCGGATAAGGATGATGAGGCGGAACTGCCACAACCCACTACAGCGATTTCGGGTCAAATCAAGGCCATTGCTAAGGACACAGTGCACAAAATCTGCTCCGGACAGGTAAACTCTACATCTTTTTAGTTTGTTTATGTTTGTTTATCTTTATTAATTAACAATTACAGGTGGTTCTGAGTTTGGCAGTGGCTGTCAAAGAGCTGGTGGAGAACTCCATAGATGCGGGTGCCACACTGGTGGAGATCAAGCTGAAGGATCAGGGATTACAGGGCGTGGAGGTCAGCGACAATGGCAGTGGCGTAGAGGAAGTGAATCTGGAGGGCATGAGTGAGTTCTAGGATCTTCAATATGCAAGAAGAGATTGTTAATCCTTTCCCCCTCGCAGCTGCCAAGTACCACACTTCGAAAATCAGGGAATTCGTGGACCTGCTGGGCGTGGAAACCTTTGGATTCCGTGGGGAAGCTCTAAGTTCTCTATGCGCCTTGTCGGACATGGTCATCCAAACGCGGCACGAGTCCACTGAAGTGGGTGAGTCCTGGTCATGGGAATACCGTACTCTCCAGCTTACTGAAACCACCTCCTAATTTTAGGCATCAAGGTGGAACTCGACCATGATGGCAGGATCAAGAAGCGTTCTCCCTGTGCCCGTGCCGTGGGCACCACTGTGAGTTTGACCAATCTATTTGCCACCCTCCCAGTTCGTCGTCGTGACTTCACCCGCAATATCAAGAAGGAGTTCACCAAGATGTGCCAGATCCTGCAGGCCTACTGTCTGGTCACCAAAGGAGTGCGCATCCTGTGCAGCAATCAGACGCCCAAGGGCGCCAAAACAGTGGTGCTGCAGACGCATGGCAACCATGAGGTGCTGGCCAATATATCGGCCATATTCGGAGCACGCCAGGCGGCGGATCTGGTGCCCCTAAAGTCGCCCTTTGAGCAGGGTCAACTAAGCGAGGCGGGATTGCGGGCCAATCTGGAGTCCTCCGCAGATGCAGCCGACACCACTTGCTCGCAAATCAGCGCCGAGGATGTGGAGCGTCTTAACCAGGCGGACTTTCAGCTGGAGGGTTTCATTTCCAGCTGCCGACATGGCGCTGGGCGTTCTAGCAGAGATCGCCAGTACTTCTTCGTCAATTCTAGGCCCTGTGATCCCAAGAATGTGAGGAAAACAGCCCATGGAAAAGCTTTTATACAAAAAATGTTAACTATTCCAGATAGCCAAGGTGATGAACGAGGTGTACCATCGCTATAATGTCCAGCAGCAGCCTTTTATCTACCTAAACATTGTGACTGCTCGCTCGGATGTCGATGTGAATCTCACGCCGGACAAACGCCAGTTGCTCATCAACAATGAGAGGATTCTGCTGCTGGCTCTGAAGAAATCCCTGCTGGACACCTTTGGCCAGACGCCAGCCACATTCCAGATGCAAAACACCACCATTGTAAGCATGCTGGAGCCAAAACTTAAGCAGGAGAAAACCGAATCCCCCAAAGAACTTGTCCAGGAAGACAGGAATGGAGAAGCTGACGATGATGATGTGCCCATTAGCTCTTCGCAGAGGTTCATGGATGTGCTCACCCAGTGGCGACGCACTGGCGATACCAAGGGCACGGCACCATCAGTTCCTGTCAAGCGCCGCTGCAGTGAAACCGAAGAGTTGGCCACTCGCTCCATGAAAATGCAAAAGATTCACACTTTTCTCAGTCAAGAGTCGCCCAAGGAACAGACTTCCAAGTGCGAGTCGGAATCTGAAGGAGCAAGTGATAATGAAAAGGGAAAGGAGAAGGAAAACAAGGAACAGGGCTGTAGTCTTGATAATAGTTTCCTGAACTTGAAAGAACTGGCTAAAGAGTCGGAAGGTAGGAAATCATTTAATAATCCTTTATCCAATAACTAATTTAAAAACCTTTTAGCCTATGACCTTTTGACGAAACCAGCCAAAGAAGCTCGCATTGATTGCAAAGTCTTTACACCAGTTAAAAGCCGACGTAGCATCATAGAAATCAAGCCAGAACCCAAGGCCCTGGCCAAACAGAAGTCCCCGCCAGAAAGTCATCCAGATCCGCCCAGCCTAACCCAGTTATCCGAAGAAACCGATATTGCCAGCGATGATGATGACCACATTGAACTGCCCACTCGCATAGAGTTCGATGAGGAGGAGGATGAGGGTCCGCCGGCCAATTTTTCAAACGGAGAACTATGCACCACGCTGGAGGAGATTGCCTCCTCCTTGAAGGCCCAGGAGCAGCAGCAGCGGGATCGCAGGGCACGAGCCAAGCTGCAGCGTCTGCGATTCAAGACCGAAATTAATCCGAACCAAAACAACAATGCGGAGGCGGAGTTGCAACGGGAGATCGGAAAGGAGGACTTTGCCCGCATGGAGATCATAGGGCAGTTTAACCTGGGTTTTATCATAGTCAAACTAGAGGATGATCTCTTTATTGTGGATCAGCATGCCACCGATGAAAAGTTCAACTTTGAGACGCTGCAGCGCACCACTCAGTTGGAGTATCAGCGCTTGACGGTGCCACAAAATCTGGAATTGACGGCTGTTAACGAAATGGTGCTCATTGACCATCTGCCTGTGTTCGAAAAGAATGGCTTCAAGTTCGAGATCGACCATGAGGGTAAGCTCGGGATTTATATATAGTGTCTTTACTGAAGAATTCTTTGATTGCGCAGCACCTGCTACAAAAAAAGTGCGTCTGCTCGGCAAGCCGCATAGCAAGCGTTGGGAATTTGGCAAAGAGGATATTGATGAACTTATATTCATGCTACAGGATGCACCCGAGGGCACCATTTGTCGACCCTCTCGAGTAAGAGCTATGTTTGCTTCACGAGCCTGCCGAAAATCCGTGATGATTGGCACTGCTTTGAACAGGACCACAACAATGAGGCGACTTATCACACAAATGGGAGAAATCGACCAGCCTTGGGTGAATATTATAATGTGTTTTTGAACAGAAGAATATGTTTAAACAAATGTCTATCTATCAGAATTGCCCACATGGACGACCCACAATGCGTCATCTCATTAATATCACAATGTTAGCAGACAATGATGAAGATGAGGAGGAAGCTACTAAACCTCAAGAGAATCTAGAATAGTTATAGGTCATAGAACAAAGCATGAAACAAAAGATTAGTAATTGTTGCAGTTTTTATTTTATTTAACTTTTCTTTTGAGCCACTAAGTATACGTCATTGTTCTGTAAATGCTTACTTGATTAACGATTAAACGACAGGATCAGACTTACAACTAAAGACAAATACAAAGGTTATCACTTGAGTATGTCTAACAAGCTACTCGTTTTGTTGTTTTGTTTAATAACTATTACTAGATCGTACACTAAATACACTTTATATATATATATATATCTATAATATTTGAGAGGCTACATACTTTCGGGTATATGTGTGCTATGGCTTAGTTTTGATTACAAAAATGCTGCTCATCTTTTTAGTGACTATTCGTAACTAGAGTCGGCTGAGATTCAACGATTTGGCAAACAGTTTACAACTCAAACGTCTGTCGGTTGTCTTTCGTAATTGGCCATACACAACTTACGCTATTTATAATTCGTATCTTACAGCTGTCGTATCGTATCGTACACAAACAGTTACACAATCGTAGATCCTAGAGTTTAGTGTTTAAAACTATAAGTTTGCTAAGCCACAAGTATAATTAATCGCTACATTCGTCCTGTTTAGTGTATAAAATGCATGGCACCCATAGGGAACAGAGTTCGTTGAGCAAGTTACCTTAGAACACAACACTACAGTAACTTAGTGACTACATCATATATGACTACAGCTACACTTTGATTCAATATTTTTCATTTGTCATTTGTCATTTCGATTCCAATTTTCCAGATTTTGTTTCGTTTCGATTCGATTTCGTTTTTCGTTTGCGTCGTTCATACATTTTGTAAATAAAAGGCAACTCATGAACATTTTTGTTTTCAACAACAAGGGACCAAGGGCCTCACGCTGATTTTCCCATCTCACGTTAACAAACTTTGCAGGTGGTTCAGTTCTTAGGTGTTATATATGTTTGTCGGATAAGTTATCTTTGGAAACAAATAGTGATTTGTCACTGAAAACTGGGTGAAGACAGGTGAAACTGGGAGAAACTTTTCAAAAAAAACTCAACAGAGAAAATCAACGCTTAGTTTGTTAAGTTTTAAATACATCCTGTTTTCGTTTTCCTGTTTCTACTGAATTTGTCGGAAACGGAACTTCTTAAAGTTTAAAGCTTTTTCTTTTAGTTTCAGAAATTCTATAAAAAAAACAGGTTCCTTTTCCGCCAAATTCTCTAAATAAGAGCCCTACAAACAGGATCATTACTAGTCCTTTGGTTTCTAATTTAAATCCACAGTGGACCAATGGTTTCCACTATAATGTCCAGCACATCCTGACGGCCCATCTCCTTGAGCGTCAGCAGGAGCGCCATTATCGTGTGCGACACCGAGTTGGAACTGTTACCGGGGCAGCTGTTCGCCCTGCACTCCCACAGGTTGAGGATCTGTTCGGTGGGCGAGGCCTTGGTGGCAAAGTAGGCGATGTACCGATCCGTGTTGAGCTTCTTGGCCAGCAAGCGCCAGTCCCGCTCGTCCGCCCGCGGAGGATCCAGGGCGGCGCAGATCAGACGCTTGGTGGCATGCGGCAGCTGGACAAAGTCCATCACACAGCTCTCGTTCACATAATTGCCCTGGCGATCGATCGAGATGGTGGTGTTCGTCGTGGAGGCCAGCTCCTCCGCCGAGCCGCTCATCGAGTGGGCTGGAATGTTGAAGGTATAGTAGTCATCCTCGCTGCCCTGGCCAAAGTCCACGCACAGGGTGTTCTGGTCCTGCCGCCGCAAGCTGAACTCGCAGTGCAGGATGGAGTTGTTGCTGAGGATGTGCTGATAGGGTATGGCATGCTCGTAGGGTGCCGCCGCCTCCACATCCGCACTCCGCACGCGGATGCTGAGGTTCCGGCTGTTCAGCGAGAAGGCGAACACCTGACTCTCGCCGAGGAAGCTGCCGCCCAGCTTGGCCTCCACATTGGCGCAGATGTCCCGGCTGTTGGGGAAGTCCTTCACCACGTAGATGCGCAGACTGCAGTTGGCACTGCTGGGCGGGGTGTGCTGGCTGAACGCCAGCAGCTTCATCTTGATCGAGGGCTGCTGAACGCGCGGTTCCGCCACCACGGTAAAGTGACCCAATTGCTCCGTCATGATGAACACATGCCTGGCCTCCAGCTGAACAAACATGGGTGTGTTGATGGTCTCCTCGCCCACGGACACGGCCCGCCGCCAATTCACACTCAGTTCGTCGTGCTCACTGTCCGCATGGTAGATGTGCACATGCCACTGCTCCGGAGCCACGAGGCAGTGGGGAATTTTCAGGATCACCGGCTTCACGAAGCTGTAGTTGCGCGGCGCACTGTGCACCACACTGCTGCACAGGATGGAGCTCTCGGTGGCGCAGGACACGCGGCTGCACTCGTCGCTCAGCAGCAGCAGGGACACGTGCTTCTTCAGGTGCTTGCCAATGGCGTGCTCCGGTACAAAGAGCAGCAGCTCTCCGCCGTAGAGGCGCAGCTGCCCTCCCCCGCTGCCCAGGAGCTCGTAGCTACTGCTCTTCGAGGCGTTCAGTATGGACAGCTTGCCGTTCATATCAAAAGTGGAGTTGGCTGTTGAAGAAAAAGAATATTATATATACTGGTTAGAAAAACGTACTCAATTTAAATATTTTTCCTTTGCGATTTTAAGTTATTTTAAATATGAAAATATTCAAATGTTTTAAAATTTGACATTGATTAACTTGATTTTAATATCTGAAAATTATATTACTTAAAGTATTTTTATATTAAATCCTGCCATTTAAAACGCATTGTATTTAAAATGATGATTTAATATATAAATTAAATATAAAATATAAAGTATTAAATGTGGAATTCAATACTCTGATATTTATTTATACTATTTAATTTTTTATTACTTACAGGTATCTGCGGTGGAGGATTCCCCGGTCTCGGATAAGTAATCCACACTCAAATGGTCTATGGGATTTGTATAGCTGAAAAGGAGGAGCAATCCATAATTATTAAAACCGTCTTTTATAAGTCTTTTGGCTCATAAAAGTTTTGAAAGTTAAGGATACTGGTAAAGAAGAGAAGATTAAAAAGTTTATGTCTACACATTGTTAAAAAGCAGCAAAAAATCGTATGGTGGAAATAACTTTACTGTGAGTACCTAATATCCGTGACAAGAATATTAAAAAGCGCATAACTATACGCGGTCTTAGGCGAATTTTAATGACTGATGAGTCATATAAAAATGTTAGTCCCCTTGTGCATGACAATCCCTTAACTTAAACAACTTAGAAGGACGGATATTTAAAAATATTAGGAGTTTAAGAAAAAATGAAATAATATTTAAGTCCTCTTTAAATAAAAGCTATATAACTGAAGACTCATTAAACATTTCTAACCATTTCATTGTAGATATTAAAAAAAAGTTCACAATAGAAAAAAGATATGTCAAAAACCTAATAATGTTTAAGCCCTTTTCAAATAAAAGAAAGGGAATTTAAAGAACTTCTATGAAATCGAAGATAATCCCCACATATTAAAATGGTGCCCTGTTTATTTGCAAGTTATAAAGTTTATGGCCAGAGTATTTACACCATATTGTATCTGAATCAAGACTCAAGAGTAACCAAAGGATAAAAAGGACATATAAGAGGGCAAACTAATAACATTTATGGCTTATTTGTATACTCACTTGGCGGACAGATTGGGCACATCGTAGTGGTGCTCGGTGACGCCTCCGCATCCGATGCCCATGCCCATGCCCATGCCCATGATGTGCTCGCCGGGCAAATAACGATGTCCGGGATTGACGTAATCGTATCCCATGTTGCTGGCCTCGATGTGCATGCGCATCTCCTTCTTTTCCACGACGCCGGGCATATAATCCGCGTCCATTACTGCAAACGGAGTCGGAATACAAACGGTCAATTGCTGGCGGCGAACGCAACACGCAACAGCAAGCAGGACGCAGGAGGAGTCCTGTTTGAACTCACCTGAGCGGGCCATGTTGTAGTGGGGATTGGCGCGGATGCCACGGCGGGCGCAGCAGATGAGCGCCGTCCCAAAGGCGAAACACACCGCGGTTATGAAGGCCAGTCCCAGATAGAGCGTCCAATCGAAATCTGCAATGGCGAAACGATGCGCATTCATATTAAACTGCTGAATCGGCTGATTATACCCCGTAATCTCAAACAATGGAAGGTATATTTGTTACTAGACTCACACATAAAATATGTAACAATCTATTTATCAGCATTAAGTATTAAAGGGATTATACATTGGTTTTTGAAAAAATTAATTTATGTTTTACAATTTATTGCTTTAAAAATAATACAATTTTGTATAAAAAAAAAACAATAATACAAACAATGGGGGTGCTACAGAAATCACATTTGTTTTTTAATTATTGATAAAGGTGCCTAAAAGAATCGTTATTTTTCGTAGTAAATCCATTTGAATTTCAGATTCAAAATATGTTGTGTTACTCATTTTGCATACTCTTTAACACCCTTTTTTTGCCTTTTGATTTATTTTTCACTTGGCACTACGTATTTCTCTTTGTTTCAACAATCAGGACTTAACTACTGAGTATTTCCCAGCTTATCATCGGAAATGGTCCTTCAAAATCCGTTCACCTTTTACAGAACTGAATGGCAATAAAGCCAGCCTGCCTGCAATTCCAGCCAGCGAGCCAAGATGCTGCCAATGCCGCCACCCCATTCCAATTGCCAATCTTTGTGTGTTTGGGCATTAAAAAAAAAAAAAGAAAAAAAACGAAAGATTTCTGCGTAAATCCGCCACCCTCATGCTTTTCAGGATGCCTGCCAAGCGAAATCCACACATTCATGGACGTTGAGTCAACCCGAAACCGAAACCATACATACCATACCAAAAACGAACCGAACCGAACTGAACTGAAGTGAACCAAACCGAACTGAACTTTTCCATAACCAAACAGGCATCCGCATCCTCTCTCACCCATTGTCATCAATCCCGAGCAGCCATGCGTATCCGTATCTGGCGGAGCAGAGCAATGTATGTCTGTATTTAATGTTTTATGTTTGTATGCTCATCCCCAGTCCAGCTTCGTCTATTTCGCATTATTATTCGCCGGCGGCCCCCCGTCGCCAGCAGTTCAGTTCAGTTCAGTTCTCCGACATCCCAGTAACCATTCCCCATCTATATGCCCATCTCCATGCCCATCTCCATGCCCATCTCCATGCCCATCTCCAGTACTCCCACCCATCGGACGCCCATTGTTGCGCTGCCTGTTTCCGCTGCTGTGATTGTTGTCGTCATTGTTGCTGGCGCTGGCGGTGACTGGTTGGCCAAAAAGGAATCGCTGCAGCGCAAGGAATTACTCTGTATATATTATGATTATTATGCCATAGAAGTAGGGTTCTAGCCCTGTGAGTGAGTGGGTGGATGGGTGAATGGGCGGTCGGACGCATTATACAATGTATGAAATGAGCAATTATATTCGCTGTAAATCAGCGGCAGAGCATCGGAAACAGCAGTAGAAGTAGAAGTTGAAGCTGAAGTCCCTAGCATCCCCAACTGGGATACTCCAAGGATCTCTTTTGGATCTCAGGGCTTTCGTTTTCCCTTCGCTTTTGTGCATTTTGCATGCTGGTTTTTACTTTTCAGCTTTTTTCCTCTTTTTAAATGCCTCCTGCATGGGACATCAAAAGGGGATTCGTCTCCTTGGCCTGACAAATACGCTTTTAATATCAGATGGTTGAGTACGAAGAGCTGCTGACAATGGGCCAAGATGAAGCCGCAGGTATCGGTGGCCCCAGGGATTTGCCCCGGATTGGTATGAGCTTTGCCCAATCGTAATAAAATCGAAAATAAGCTGCACTGTGTCGTCGTGTCGCTCTTCGTAAACTTTTCAACAGGCAATCAAATAAAAGACAAACCTGCCAAAAAAAAAAGGAACCCCAGCCAGAGTCCTTGTACCCTGATCCTTTCAATTACACACTGTGACAGCCATCTAATTGATCCCCATGGACCGCACAAAACTATGTTTGAGTTGGGTCAATCGCACAATTTTACTCCCACTCCCCCACCGCACACACAGAGCATTGAAAATCGAATCGCAAACAGCAACAATGACACGGGAAAAGCCCTCAATTTGGGGGTGGCAAATGGGGCAGGATGTGGACTCTGATTCTGATGCTGCTGTCTTCTGCCGCACGCCTAATTATCTGGCAAAGCACATAAACCCTTAGCCAAAGAGACTTGTGTGGGACGACTCTCCACTTAAATCTCAATTCCAAGTGCTGCTGCTGCGATTGATTTGCGACGGACCCTTCTTCGATTGGATTTGGTATGGGTATGGGTATAGGTATGGCTATGGGGATTGGTACTGCCACTGGGAGTCGGAAGTTAAGAGTTTAGACTTGGAGGGGTTTTTTGGGGTGAACTGTCTCTGCCCAGCTTTCTATACTTTCTATACTTTCTGTTCTACTATATATATATATAAATAAGCTCGTGGCCGTGCACAAACAAATGCACTTGGTTAATTTCCCATTGTGACAATCAGCGTTGAGTGCTCGGCTTTTGTGTGAGGCATGGGTTGGGTTTTTGGAATCTGGCTTCTGTTGTCTAACTGTCTACTTTGTTGCTCCAGCCGGGCTGGCTGGCATTCATCCTTGTCATAAGCATAAGCATGGACTACTGCTACTATGTACTACTCACCATCCTTGCCAATCTGGCACTGTTCGCCGCGGCATTCGGCCGTTTGTATGTCTTTTCCGGCGCACAATGATTTGCCATATCCTGGGATATTGTCGGAACTGGAGCCAGTAGCTTCGCTGGGGTTTCCTACCCCGGTTCCTGTTGCTCCCGCTCCCGCTCCTCCACCTCCTCCTCCTGCTCCCCCTGAGGCGATGAGGGCGGCCATGCCCACACCGGCTCCGAGGAGCAGATCACCGGCTTCCTCCGCCGCCTCGGAAATCTGAGTCTGGCCCTGAGTCAGGCACTTCCGGCGACGCACTTGAATGCACTCCGCGGAGCAGATGCTCCAGTCACTCCACGCCGACCAGCGGGCCACTGCAAATGGATGGTGGAAGGGCAAAAGCACAGGCAGTTTAGAAATCAAAAGTCATATTAACATGATTTAGCACACATTCCCGACAGCGGCACTCCCCGGGTCATATATCACGACTAGGGAGCAGGGACCACGGAACCAGGGACGTGGCCATCCCCCCTTTTTAGCCTCTGGATGCTGCCACTCAATTACGCTCTAATAGATGGTCCATGGGGAGAAATCGAAAGTTTGTTCCCACCATAAAATTAGTGGGTCTTCCGACTCCGACTCCTCCTCTTACGTCCCTGATTCTTTTATTTTGTTTCCATTTTACCCCCCCTTTTACGCCATTGGCGACGCCTCTGTTGATTTTGGAGGTTTGTGCGTGGGTGGGTGAGTAAAAGTGATTGTCATTTTAATGCTTTTCTATTTTCGCATTTTGCCTTGCTATTTCAATTTCCCTGCTTTCTTTTAGGGTCGGGAAAACGGAAAGTCCGAAAGCTAAACAAAAAGCCAAAAACTGTTCATGGTGTGATGCATGCCAATGGCAGCCGAAATATATGTTCGACAGCAATGCACTGAGACAAAGTAGTAATGTAAATAAGTTTTAATAAACTAAAGAACAAAAAATGTATTTAAAATATAAACGGTAAAACAAAATTGTACGACCAAAATGGATAAATAACTAAATTATAGTACATTTAAATTATGTATTTAAAATATTAGCTGCTTATAAAATTGTAGAGCAACATTTTGAATTTCATAAAATAATAAATAAATAATAAAAATAATAGTCAAGAATATAATTATTCCGAAACGATAGAGTAACTTAAACAAAAATCTGTTAAAAATAAGTTGCTGTTAATATAATAAATTTCTATGAGTTGTGATTGTCGATATGTAAAATTTAACTAAAATTTAAATGTATTTATTTAATCATTTAAGAAACTACATTTTTTTATATTTTTTAAACATTTTAGAAAACATCTTATTTACGTCCATCTAAAATATTTTAGAAATCCCTTATGCTTACTTCTTTATAATTCAATAAAAATCGAGTAAACTTTTATCATCCAATTACCAATTCCAGATGTAGTTTTTCCCTGAGTGTGCACACATACTGATATAAATACATCGGCATTTGGCACTTCCTGTTTTGGAAACATAAAACCACCCCCAAAAAGGGCGCCCAGAATTCCGGGCTTGTCGCCAGCCATCATCACATTGCCAGGCATTTAGTTTTCCCCCCCTCTACGCTGTGCGCATCCTGATCAACCCCCCATCCCTGGACGTATCCTTTTCGACAACAGCCCAGTCCGGCCAGACTGTTGCATGAATCAGAGAGCGTAAGTCGTGGTAAGTGATTTTTAAGTTGCTATCTGCCGCAGTGACGTCACTTGCGACCCCGCAGGAAAGTAAGTCACTTCAGTTAAAGTCAGTTAAAGTTCCTTTTTTTGGGGGGAAGTCCCGAAACGAATGACGCCACGCTTGGTTGGATGCTGATTCTGATGCCTCCGGTTCGGTTTAACACGATTGTTTATTGGATTGTTAAGGCCCCAGTGAATATGGGGGAAGCCCAACTAAAAAATTTAACTGTCGTCGGCTCGTTAAGCATTCAATTTTAACTGCTCGAACACAATGTCGTATTGAATCCTTTGGCCCCCATTCCGGGAAGCCCCATCCCCATCCCCATCCCCATCTCCATACCTCCCGGGATGCGAAGCCTTTGAGGGAAATGCACATTGTCGGGCTTTCGGTTCAACTTACTGCGCTTACTCGACGAAATGTCAAATCCATCAGGGCTCACGATTTGAGTGTCCTCTGTTGTTGGCAGGCGACAGTGGCGACAGGACGTCAGGACGACAGGACGACGGGATGACGGCGTAATCATAGGCGTTGGTGGGCGTGGCGGCACGACCATAAGGTTGACACGGTTCCATGGGGATGAAAAGTCGGCAGATTGAAGGAGTCCGGACCAGAAAAAAAAAACGGAAAAACGAAAGCCAAGCGAAATTTAAAATTAATTTTATGACACACTTTTCATAGAAAAGAAACACCCCCGACCACAATGGCAGTGGTCCCCCTCTTGACGACCGAAAGACCCCCTTCTGGAGTATATATACTCTCGTATATACCCACTCCCACTCCCCCCCACTCTCGTTCACAGTCCCATTTGCCCCGCTTGTCTGTCAACAATTGCTCATTGCTGTGCCCGCTGTGCGCCTGGCCAAGTATCCTACGAAATCTCCGTGTGGGTGAGTATCTGGGCGAGCACTACAATACAATACAATGCAATACAATAAATTTACATGAATAAAAGTGAAGAGTCTCAAACACATGCCGCCCGTGCGTCTGTCAAAAAGAGCGCCCCATCCACCACCAATGCACCGCACTCCATTCGAAGCCATTCCATTCCAGATTTCATCCTCGGTCCCAAGTCTCTGCTCCCTGCTCATTGCTCCCTGCTCCCTTTCCCCCCGACTTCATTCCTTTGTCACCATTTAGTCGGTGGCACGCCGACGGCAGGCGTTCCCGCTCCCGTTCTCCGCTGCCAAAGTCGGCGGCCCAATCTATCCATCTATATACGCACTCGCATGTGGAGATATCTGTCGTCGGTCCAAGGCACCGAATGCGTGTTTAAAATGAAATACTCAGCACTCACTCAAAAATGTATTATGCCATTGTTCGCACTGGGCATGGTGACTATGCCGAGGGGTTCGTCTATATTTAGTATTAAGTACATGTATTAAGTTATTGTTCTTTAAAAAGAACTTGAGATGATGAACTCCAAACTGTCAATAGTTTTGGCGATATACATATATAAACTTCTGTTCCAAAATAATAAAAACTTGAATTAACTTTTTCTATACTTTCATTTCTGCATTCTAAGTTTTATCAATAAAAAACAATTTTTTTAAGAAATATCTTATTTAATATATAAAGTAAGTATCCACGCAAACAATTTACCTCTTTAAATTTTAACTCTATCGTTTGACTTTTACCTAAATATTTAAAAAAATGTAACAAGATTAAAGTTAACAAATTGTAAAATCACAAAACACGAACTCCAATAAAGTTGGGATTAGATTCTAATGAACCAAAAATGGAAATATTCCATACTAATCCTGTACGCCGCAAATCAATTTCAATACCACTCTAATCATTTATGTAAATCCTATCCCATTTGGATTATGATAATCACTGAAATCCTTAGAGTATGCCTAGTTCGCATTGACCCTTAAGCTTATCTTGTCTTTTTTCATTTTATTTTACTTTTTTTATTGTGGAACGCCCTCTGAACTTTTGCGTTGTGCAGTGCTTTGTATTTTGGACTGTCCTTGCCACTCTGCACCCCCTCCGTTCCCCTCCCCTGGCGCCGCCCATCCTCCCTGGTGTGAAAAATACGCGTTGTTCTCGACGCTCCAGGAGATGTATCGACAGAGTCAGCGGGGTGGACAAAGGGACTTTGGGTAAAAGGGGATGTGCAGGTGGCGCCCAAGTTGGAATCCCGACCGCAAATGCCATTTAAATTGACAATTTTCCTGCTGCCTCACCAGCTAGCTGCCTTAAAGCTTGCCAACTGGCACCTTTCTCAACCCACCAGCGAAACCCGTATAATGGGCGTGTTGGCCGCAATTCGTTGCGCCCACAATTTTGCGGATGACCGCAGGAACGTACCTGGACATGCGGCGCAATCGGGGGACTTTTGGATCTGGGGGCCCGGACACTGGGCGCCCCCATTCAATGGCATTGGATTGTTGCAGGTTCGAGAGCGTTTGCGTCCCTGACTCGGTTTACCAGCACACTTGCATTCACGCCAAGGACTCCAGGTGCTCCAGCCACCGTTGACTGTGGCATGAAATCAGAAATAAAACAATTAAGAGCGTTATCGACCAGTAAAACGGGCATGAGATTAACCGGTGCTTATAGACAAGAACTTATCAACGGTTTAAGGTTTAAAAATGTACCATCTAGATTTAACTTGGTTCATCGTTGAAAATTTGTTTTTAATAATTCAATATGTTTACAACCATAGCTCATTACTTTTAGAAGCCATGTTTTTAAAGATACTTGCAATGTTGCCATGACATTTTAAATTTAATAAAATCTAATAGGTTTATATTTTGTGGTTTTCATATATAAGAAATTCAATTTATCTACTTTTTGGAATGCTCTTCAAAACGAAATTTGGGCTTACAGAAAAGTGTAGGATTAAGTTAAAATTGTTTCCATTAAGATATATTTTAAAGAGGCTCCTCAAGAACCAAGATATTGTTCACAATGATGTTCGTATTCTAAGCTGTAAGTAATGGAACAAACTTTTATAGGGAAAATTTTCTTAAGAGCAACCAAAAATCTTGGACAAGTATTAAAATACTGTGTGGCCTTGTATCTGTGATATTTGTATTCTAATATGTGTTATTAAAAGTAAATGGATATTCTTGGTTATTTTTACTATAAAGAGTAACGTGTGATAAAAACGAACTTTAAAATTCATGACTGTGCCCTGGCGCCCTTGAATACTGACCATAAACGATGAGCACGGCGGAATCGGAGACGCGCCTGCCGGCTATATTCTCCGCACTGCAGCTGTAGTTGGCCATGTGCTGCAGGGCCACCTGGCGAAAGGTGAGGGTGCCGGCCGAAACGCTGATCCCCGGCTCGCTGTCCGCCGTGATGACCGCGTTGTTCTTGTGCCAGGTGAGCTTCGGTTCGGGGAAGCCGCCGGGTGGCTCGCAGCGCAGTTCCGCCCGACTGCCCAGCTCCAGGCGCAGCGAGGTAGGCGACTGGTTGAAGGACTTGCGAATATCTGTGGTGGGTGAAAGGACAGATGCCGGATACCGATGTAGATATAAATATAGATTCAGATACAGATACAGATAGGGGTAAGCTAAGCGAGGGTCAGTTGTTGACAGGAAGCCACCCCTGGCCAAGGTGCAATGCTAACTACAAAATGTACACTTTAGTGAACATGCAAAAACACTTGAAGAAAATAATTGGATAAGTTGAAACTTTATGCAGAACAAATAACTTAAACTTGTAATGTTTAAGCTTCAAACCTTTCATAAAAATTCAGCTGTTGTAATTGATGATCAGTTGAACTTTTTAATTTACAATTCAATTTTTTACAAAAAGCATTTAAGATATATCAAATTGTAGGTTAATTACGATTAGTTACAAGTCACTAATAAAAGCTCTTTGATTATGTGAGCACATTTTCTTAATTTTGAAAATAATTATTTTATCAGCATTATAATATTACTTTTAAAATAGTGAACATGAAAATTAAATCTATCCATAAGCAAAGATTCTTGATAATTAAATGTAAATTCCTCATATTGATTTCAATTTGAATGACTTATTGTTTTTATTTTATAGTAACCTTATACTAATAATTTATATTCTGACTTTTTGGAACAAAAGCAGAGACATTATGAATACAACTGAGTCAAAAAAAAAGTTTTTATTAAAAAATGTATTTATGCAAGCTAAAGCTTTAGTTTGTAGCTAACTTTTAAATCTTGTAAGGTGCATAGTTTTGGCAAACAACTCATATTTTTTTATTAGTGTACTCACAGGCAATGTGGACGGTGGCGGCCTGACTCTTGACCACGCCACGCGACGACCAGGCGTGGCACTCGCACTTGAAGGGCCCGTCGCCGAAGAACTCGTCGACCAGGTCGCGGTGGATGGTGGCGGTGACCTCCTCCATGTTGACCCCTGTGTGCGGGTCCACGTGGGTTTCGTGCGTGGAGGGCGGCGGTTGCGAGCTGCCGCTGCACTTGAAGATCACCTGCAGCGAATGCGAGGCCTTGCACTTGAGCACCGCCGGCCGGTTCTTGACCACGAACACACTCTCCGGTTCGATGAGGAAAATGGGCAGCGTGTTGCTGGCCTCGCCGGGACTCAATTTGCCGGTGTTGAACTCCTCGAGGAGTATGCCCGATCCCGCTGCCGCTCCTGATGATCCTGCCGAGGAAGTTCCCTGTGGCGGCCTGGCATTCTCATCCTCGCTGCTGTTGCCCAGCAACTCCACGTGGTTCTTGTGCGGGGCCGACTCTTCGGTGACCAGGGAATTGGCGAAGGGGGCCATGGCCGTCAGCGGGTCAATTGCATCCTCCTCCAGGGAGGCGGACAGACTGCCGTAGTCCAGCTGCGGCAACTCCCCGGAAACTGGCAGCAAGAGGAGCAGGATTAGCTGCAGGCTAACCAGCAGGGCAATCACATTTCCGGCTTTATTAATCACCGCCATGCTTCGCTGCTGTCAGTTGGCCCGTCGTTCGTCGGAGGTGTCGTCCTGTCCTGCGCTTCCTGTGCAACTGATGCACCTGCAGGGACACCTGCAATTGCAACTGCACTAGTCGTTCCTGCTGCTGCTGCTGCTGGCGATGTGGCAAGCTAGCTGAAGGAGCTGGCATTAGCATTAGCTGCACACTCGCTCCGTCGACGTGGTGAATACGATCTGGAAAGTCAGATAAGAAACGCCAGTTAGCTACCTTTTCTACTTCGGCCAGGTAATTTGCGCACTTGGCAATAAGGCGATTATTTACCAAGCGGTCTGTCAAGCCACGAATGTGTCCATGGCTTGACTAAAGTGTTCATATCTTTGACGTACACGCTTGGCATTAACAAACTTATGGTCTCGGACTTGGATTACCCTATCATAGACGACTTGTTTATACTCTACAGACATAGAAATATTGGTTTATTGGTGGTTTCACTTGTTAGTTTAGATAATCAACTTAATAGACCAGCTATTTGATAACAAATAGGCACCTTAAAGTATTTATATTAAATTATCAAATAAAAATATTATCAAATAAACAAGTTAAAGTAGTTTTCTTGACAGTACAAAGTATGGGTATAAGTATAAACAATTACACAACTCAGTTTCCAAAACTTCAACCTATTTTAGTTGCAGATGGTAATTCGAGCTATGGATGTTCGACTGTATAAAAGATACTCCTAGCTAAACACCTGCCGTTTTATTACGTAAAACCCTTTTCCCAAATCAAGAATAAAAGGTGTCAGTTTACGATCACATTCTCCAGAATCCAAAATGCTTTAAGGGTGTCTTAAGGGTCTAATGAGAAACCCAAATAATAATGTAACAATACCCTTCCATTAAAGATGCTCTCTTCACGAAGAAAACTATCTGAAATTGTATTCCCGTGTTTAGATATCATTTCCTGCCCTGGGAAGGCCCTACTTCAGTTCACTCCGATTGCAATCTGCTGACAGGATCAATGGAAAAATGAAAATGTATCGTCTGCACTTAGGGACACTTCCTGTCCTGCCACAGCACAATCGATGAGTTGTCTCCATCAATCAGGGGACCAATACGCCCCAACGGTCGACCAATTTTTTAAGTGTAGGGCAACGTGGTCACAAGTTACAAAATATTTCCCATTAGCCATGCAAGTCATGCGTCAGATTCTACGAATCGCTGGTACCTAATCGAAATATTAATAACAGGTATAAGTATGCCCAGCCACACTGTAGTTCTCTGGGCACGGGCACAGGCATGGGCACAGGCATGGGCACCTAGGCGGTTCGTTCAGGACGTGGTCTCCTCCACGGGCTGTGGGAAAAGCGCCTTTTGTCTTTTGTCTTTTGTCAGAGTTATTATGTGGTCGGTGGTGTTGGACTAGAGTGGAGTGGACTGGAGCGGACTGGAGTGGGGGAACACGGAGAAATGAAGGAGGCATGCCTGCACGAACACCGCGATAAGTCCGGCCCCCGTCTTTTAGCCTAACTTCGAGTTGGAGTTTATGCGTTTGTCTTTGTAATTATGTATTAATCATGCATAAGTTTAAACTCAAAAGCAGCCCTCCGCTCAAACTCAAATTTTATTGCCGACGACGACGTGGGGCCATTAAAAGGCACATCAAGTAAAAGTCGATATGTAAATTTTGCGGAAACGCTGATATGTGATAAGTGATTATGTTCGGGGAGGTGGAGACGGAGACGGAGACCATGCGCCACAGCTCACAGCTCACAACTCGAACTCAGCCAAATCAGAGGTACCCAGTAGCAGCCGTGACCACGAATCGTAATAAAATATCGGGTAATCAGAAGTTAAAGGGAAATAATACATTTGATGGGTCGTCATCATCGTTTCATTCGGCTTAAGCGCCTTTATGCGTAATTCAATTGGATTTACAGGGTGCTTGTGGACACTTGAGTGTCTGTCAATATTCTCCTTCGTGTGTGGATGGGATGGCGAATGGTAAATGGTAAATGCTATATGCTATATGCTATATTTGGAGTGTGGGCGGGCTCAGCTCTCATGTAACTGACCAGATTATAATAGTATTCTTCCGGCTCTATCCGCTTTGTTTTGTGTGTGCATTCAATTATAGATGGGATATTGAAGCTCGTTGTGTTTTCGATTTGTCTAGACTTTTGTTTGACGAGGCCGAGATTGGGCCACATTGTGTGCCGGGCTCGGGCTGCTTAGCTAAATTACATTTCGGCTAAAGTAAATCGATATCGCCATCAGCGAAAATCGAACACTGATTTTCAGCTCTCATATAAACAAAGCTTATTTATTACTGCAGCAGCAGCTTCTGTGAAGAATAATGCTGAATTGAAGGCACATATTGACATGACAACGGAACCACTGATGGCGAGATTAATCAAAGTCTGGCACATAAAATGCCCCGATTCAATCGATTTGGAGCCTGCCTTATCGGACCAAAAGCTTCAATGTTCAGGGGTTGAGGGGCATTGTACATTACATTTTAATAGATTTTTAATGAACTGAAGTAGGCCAAATGGATTGTAAGAGGCGCTTATCAGCGACATTTCATTGTCTGCGGGTGTACTTTATAATCGAATGGGTTTTATTTATTGAATGCAAACTTGTCGTTGGCAAATAAAAAACATGCATTGATTTTGGCACGCAAGCATCCGGGGAACCCCCCTCCACTTCCACTTCCTCATCCTCATCCTCGCAATGAATGACTGAGTGACAAACTGTGGGACACACACGCACATGCACTGAGCAATAAAATGTTTTCGGAAATTAAGAAATTATTATCATGTTATTCTATACTTCACAGAGATAAAGTTTTGTATTGCAGAGTGCCACAAATGTACAAATGGTTTAAGCACTAATCAGAGATTGTCATTCAAAATAAATAAACTTTAAATTTAATTATAACTTAGTAATGAGATAAGTACTCAGCTTGTACTGCAAATCAGAGTTCAGAAAGGTTTTGTGCAGTGTTAACTTTTCAGACTGGAGAGGGATTACTGCGTTTGACTGAATGGTATTAAACAAATTTATAAGCCACTTTCAAAGCTTTAATGGCTATTGATTTTCGCAATATGAGCTTTGTTTGAATAAAATTTTTCTACAAATTAAAAAGTTGCGAAATTTGATGGCTGCTGAGTTTCGCAAATTTTTGTTTATAAACATTAAATTTGTTTTTGTTTAAATTCATTCAGCTAAGAGCTAGAGAATTAGGGCATTTGTTGTTCTTATGTATGAATTAGACTTGGAATATTGTCGTCTTTTAAAAATAATATATAGTAATATATATGACGGATTGCAGAGCCAATGAAATCCCCCCTTTTCAGGTCCTTTTTTTCTCTGTGCAGTCTTTGAGATTTATGGCCAGATACGCGAGTTGCGTGTGCATGTAATCATCCTATATTGTGAGGAGAGACGCCACCGAAGTCCCGCTGAACTTTGATGATTTCCCAAGCTCTCGGATTCCGCGGAGGCGGAGAAGGTGGATGAGATTGTGTCGCCGGCACTTGCTTCCTAGGCAGTCAGCCTGAATGAATGGGAAATGCGAATGGAAGACTGCGTGGGATAATCGGCGTCGTATTCAATTTAATTTCACAACTATTGCGGAGTCTCTGCGAAGTGTAGAGGCGGAGAAGCCCTTCCTGTGCCGAATGAGAACTTCCAAGTGAACTCCAAGAACTCAGATTCGGTTGCCATCATTCGGGGGATGAGGATGTGGATGTGGATTGGGCTGGGGGATGGGGGAATGGGGGATGGGGAACAATGCCAGAACACACAAAACAAGTGAGCATTCTATAAAATAATTGATGACTGACTGACTCAGTTGCTTGGCAGCAATAATTTTTATACTTCTGGAGCACTCGCACACACACTCTCGAGCACTAAAATCAAATGCCACTCGAAACGCTGCGCCAGTCGCTTTGGTGACTGCCCTGAAGTGGATCCATGGATGTGTATGTGAATGTGAATGTGGCTGTAGATGTGGCTACCGCAGATGCCGCTGCCTCAATTGCGTGTGACTTGGTCTTCTGCTACTCCTCCTTGTAGTTATGTTGTACAATCGCCGGAACATCTGTAGCACAAATGAAATCTTTAATGCCCAAGGGACCGTGCTGGTAACTCTGAGGCATCTGTATTTCACATGTTGCGCATTTTGCCCACACACTTACTACACACACTGCTCACTCGGCAACTTGAGACCTTATAGAGGCAGCTATTGTGAAGACTCAGCTCGCTTCGCATTTTAGGTTTCGGGCCACGCTTGTCTTGTAATCAAACAATTAAAGATGATTTTAATTAATCTATTTATAAAATCCTCCCCCAGTGCCGCCGTCATAACTGCTCAAAATTGAATGCGACGAGCGTTGCTTGATCGAACAACTCAACGGGGGATGCGAAACGACAACAAACATCTTTAAATTAATTAAGCGTAATTGTCGAGGAATTAGAAGTAGAAACAAAAGTTTCAAGCATGAGTTATGGGCCTGAGATATAGCATACATGTTACTACAAAACACACTAGATACAATCGTTGAATGATGTGGGGGAGGAATAGGAGGGCCAGCATACTTGTGCCCGTCTGCATGCAATAAACAAATTATTTATGATTCCATCAGTTGCCTAAGTAGCACAAACTGAACAAACTGAACAACTGATGACGGCCCTTATCATTTGTATCGTATTAGCAAAGTTCTAATGTGTCCGTTTCCAAACAAATGATGCCCATGGCCTAATTTATGTTGCCAAAACTGGTGCCACAAGATGCCAGCTGATGATAGCCAGAGAAAAACAGAAAAACAGAAAAAATAGAAAAATAGTAAAGAAGTAAAATAGTAGTTGCCTACGCAACTGCCCAAGATGCAATGATAAGAGCTCGGGGGTAGAGAAAGTTCTGCCAGTTTCAGACTACCTAGGCATGTTAATTCCCTCTTGATTCTCACCGGCATCGATCGGCTCGGTTCAATCCAACGATTTACGACGGTAAGCCCGGCTGCGCCCTTGCTACCAGCGGCTACCTACGTTCGGAACAAAGCCAGTTGCCGAAAGAAAATGAAAAGAGCCTATTCTTTCTCTTCGATCGACATCTAATCCAGTGCTAAGACGCGTCCCGGTCCCATGAACCCTGGCGGAACCTATCGAGCCCATACGACCTCTACATATGTTGTAGAACGCTGGAATGACAATTAATCACCTCAGGAGTCAAAGATGTTCATGCAACGTTTCGTTCCCATGTCCCCAGGTCCCGAATATCGAAAGCCGAGCCCTTGTTTGCCGTTTGCCCATCGCAGGGAACAGCTGTATCTGTATCTACGACAGGGTTTGAGTTTCGATTGCTGTGCTCTTGCACAACCCCTAAAATTATGACTACTAGTGGGCCGAGTGTGAGAACTCGTGAAGGGGTAAGAGTAAGAGCTGCGCGTAAATTGTTAAAAAGCAGAAACCAAAGTGTGAGTCCAATCATTACGTGCATTTGTCAAGGCCTGAGAATTGTTCCGAATGTCGCTGCTGGTTGTTTGAAACCCATACCATTTTTTACCATACCAGAGCATAATACCATTCCATTTCGTCTGTCTGTCTGTCAGTCAGTCGGTACGTCAGTCAGTCAGTTAGGACGTTTCGACGTCCAAAGGGGATCATTATATGCCAATTGGCGATTGTTTGTTACCCATTCACCGACCCACCAACCCACCAACCCACCAACCGACCCACCGTTTGTCGCGGAGGGTTGGTAATTGCAATCCACATTTGAATTTACATTTGAATAACGGTTACAGGCCCGAATTATAACTGTAATTGCGGCATGTTGATCGCGGCATCCCGCCGGCCGGAGTTGTTATTATAATTGTAGCTGCATCTTTTATCAATGAATTGAGTGCTGCACTCTCATGAGGGCCTCTCGACAGCCGCCCGTTCACCCCCCATCCCAGTGTGTGACAAGAAAAACAAAAATAAACATACTGAGAAAAAATATATATTTTAGGAATCGATCTAGAACCCCGAAATACAGTCTTTTGATTTCAAATTATAGTAGTTTCATATAAGTATTTATGGGTGTTGTAAAAATCATATGATCTGTATACTTGAGTTTTTAATTAGCTCCTGAATGGATAAACAGATGTTTAAAATATAACATTAAAAAAAAGTAGTCTTCAAAACTAGTATAAATGATTCAAACAAATGAGATAAGAAAAGAAACCTTATAGCAAAAACAATTAATATTTTTCAGAAGCTCTGATTAAAAATTCCATAATGTCTTTTTTTCCTGTGCACTAACACACACCGTTCGTCTCACAGCAAATACACATGGCTAAGCGCAATCATAAAATACAAATAAAAATAAAAATACACGACGGCGTTCAAAAGGGCACGCTTTTCATAATAAACATTAGCGAGCGGCTCTTGGTTCGCCCTGTAGGCCCTGTGGCCCCCCCTACTCCCCGCGGTCACATGGTTCGAGGGTCGTCCGATCCGCTCCAGTCGGTTCCGTTTCCCCCCACTCCCCCGCAAACGCTCCTGGCTCGCTTGTTTGTTTGTGAATTGGTCGTCTTTAGTTACACTTGAATACGTTTTGTGTGTTGTCACCGTAGTTGTAAAGTGTGTGTTTGTGTGTGTGTGTGTGGGTTATGGTTAGCTGGTCCTGGTCCTGCTTCTGGTCGGCACTTCACTTCACCTCCTACTCAATGCACTTTGCACCTTAAAATAGCATTGCAGTGGCATACTTAGCGGCGCAGGAAGCGACGACGGCCGACAACTGCAGTGCGCCGCCCCTTTGTGTGTCCTGTTTTTATCCTGTCCGAGCAACTGGGGTTTCTTATTATAGTTAAGCATCGCTACTTACCCGGTGTCTCGCTTTTGTTGCTCCCGTTTCTGCTGCAGTGCGACCAAAGGAGCGGGCTGTTGTCTTAGGAGCCAACATGTATCCAGATCCAGTTACATATCCCCAGTCCCCTGAAATCCTTGCAGAGGCCACTGGTGTGCTGTGTGTGTTTGGGTTTGGGTTTGGGTTGTTGTGTGTGCTTAGGACATCTGTAACCTTATCGCCTTTAGTTTACTTGTCTCCGCTTACACTCATTATGACGACAGAGCACTTCACTACGCTTTTCACTCAGCACCGAGAAGATATCCTGCTGGTATTGACACTATGGCACAAGGTAAGTTATCTCTATCCCGCATATAACTATATATCGCCGTTCACACGATCTCGCACTTGGTTTTCAATACGCGCGCGCTCGAATATACGAAATTCGAAAACAACCACTGCGTCGAGCCGGCGTGCGTTGCGTCCGTTTGCTTCGACGTTTTCCGTTCAAGTGAAACGTGAATTGTTCGTGGCCAGAGCAAAAGGCACCAGCGACATAGAGCCCTGCACTGGGAGAAAAATCATCATGAAGTCAGAAAATAACACCAAAAATTCTGACCTTAGAACAAGTATTTGTAGGTTTGATATATGCATTTTGGAAAGTGTATAACTTGACAATAAATTACATTTTGTTATTATTTGAATTTCTAATTTTTCTTACTCAAGCAAAACCAATTGACTCAAGAATAATCAATTTTCAGTTATTTCTACCATTAATTTATTTCCATGTTGTATTCAAATGTTGTAGTTTATTATTAAAATTTTGTCTTTTAATCTCTTATAACCAGTTAACTTTTTTTTTAAGTTCTTAGTTTTTAGGTATAAGAAGTAAATAAGTAAGCTAAAATTAATATTTAATAAATTTTATTTCTTAGTCAACATCGGAATTGTTAAGAATTGTTTTTTAGACATGCTGCCTATTCTTTTTCTAAGTGTAGTTGCGCTCTTTGACTCGGAGTGGCGCTCTCTGTCTCTCTCTCTCCCTCGCACGCAGCATCCCCAGGAGGAGCATGCTGTGTTGTTGTTCTTCGCAGCATATGTGCAGGAAGTGGGGGAGTGGGAGCCCAAAGAGAGTAAGTGAGAGAGAGAACGCTCTCCCGTTCGGACGCACTTTACGACGTGGACGTGGATGTGGATGTATAGGTACGAGTATGTATATTGGCTCCTTGGCTATTTTGTATCTTTCCTGCCTCCGCCCGCGTGTTGTTGTTGTTGTCGTTGTCGTTGTCGTTGTTGCATTCTAATTTTACGCACTGGATTCCTGAGATGCTTTCATATTCCATTCCCGTTTGATGATTTATCGACTGCAGCAGCAATTAAAAGGCCTTTAGCGCTGCTTTTTATCAACTCGACTCGGTGACATTGGAGTTTTATTTATATTTTGTTGTGCGCGCACACACACACCATCACTAAAAACACTACGCACTCACACACACGCACACCTTAGCCAGGAGATTTTTGTTGGCTTTGATTGCCGTTTTTTTATGCGTTAATTCTCGTTATTTCACTTGAACTTTACCATTTATTGCGGTTTAATTGCACATTTTATAAGCCAGACATGGTTTGCAGTTTTCCCGACGAAACTTTTTTGTTTTTTTTCGGGGAGCGCATTCCTTCGGCATCACTCAGTCACTTTGGCTCAAATTGGAGCCTGTGCTCCCGCAGATTACTCCCGCCGGACAGTGTGACCAGCCGGCGCCAAGGGCTCCAATCAGGGTTGAAGGTTTTCCGGGAATGACTTTGAATCCTTTGGCGCCAGCTTTCATAGATAAGAAAGCTTGTTCAAGAGAAATACTCACGACTTGTGCTTAGAATCTTGGTAAAAATATGTTATTTTTCAGTTTTAACTTAACGATAAACACAAATGTATATGCAACTAAACAGGCAGCCAAGCTTAAGAGAATTTATTAAGGAAGAATTTTAAGGCAATTTTACATGGAGAGCAATTTATATATATGTGTTAAGAATCGTAATTAAAATATTACGAGCAGCTTAATCGCTATTACAAAATTTCATTAGAGTTCTCTCTTTCGGGAGTGTACTGTATGTCAATTAAAATACTTTATTAAATATATTGGTATTTCATTCATTAATAATTTTGGTTTTTGGCGACATCTAGCGTTCGGTTTCCAAACTTTAGAATTTTACATTTAATCTACTTGTGCTTACTGTAAAAAGCGGCAGGTAGAGGAACTAAGCTAAAAATTATGTTTGCCCGTGTTGCCAGACCAAACAAAATATTTAATATACAATCTGGTAAAATGGACTATAAATGTGTACCCAGGTACTTAAATAGGTACATGTGTCAGGTACTCCCAACAGTAATATTAACACTATTTTTATATTCCTGAAAAGCAGCAAAATAAATATGAATTATTTTTGTCATAAAAACGAGTAGCAATTGGTGACATTGTAAATTTGTTAAGTTTATTCCATGGCGTATTTAGCAAGAAATTAAAAAAAATGAAGCTTACAAATAAATTAGTTTCTTATTTTGTTGTAAAAATGTTTATATATTAAGCTTTTACATTGGAGATGAAATGGAGCTATTGGTTACCAATCCTGGCGAAAAAAATTTAGAGATTAACAAAATCCTGCAATAGTAAAATATGCATACCTTGAGACAAAGTTCCTCGCACTCTGCTTTTGAAAAGAAGCGATTCCTGTTTCCTCCACAAAGGGCATAAACAAAACGGATGCAGGACTTTTTCAAAGGATCGTAGTACCAGGCAAAAACTCCCTTGCCACATTTTCCATAATTTACTGGAAGATGGCAAATAGCTGATAATAAAGTTTGGTTATTATTTACTATAGACAACTAAGCACACTATTGTTGCACCTTTTTGTTGTTTGTAACTTTCATAGCTAAATGCAATCGTTAATCCAAGAGTCAACAAAAGGATAAAGCAAGAAATTAAATGCACCATTTTTTTTTTATTTTGTGCTGGAGTCAAGCAAGTGAAAGAAACTTTTGGTACTGCATCCATCGAAGCCATGAAATCAGTTTATATATGAAAGGCAGCAGTCTGTTTTGAACAAAGCATTTGTTCGTTTTTACGAATTAAAAGCTTTTAACTCAACTTAGATGTTGGTACCATCTTATCGCCAGCTTTTCCAAATGATTCATTTTTATTTACCAGGCTTAATCACATTTTCGCGGAACTTGAGGGTTCGTAACTATAGTTAGTTACAAGAACATATTCTGACAGTAATGTTATTGACGTCTTTCTGCGACTGATAGCAAAGATAGAAGAATTTAAAGATTTAATTTTCATATAATTTCAAAGATAATAAAGATCAATTGATCTTCTCGCATATTATTTTGACATACAAATATTTAATTTTATATTCAAAAATATACTCTATCTTGAAACTTAATATCTATTGATACTTTTAAATATGATATATGTATGTAATAAGGTTAAATAAACTCTTAATGTATATGAAACATTCTTAACTAAATCAACAATTAAATATACACTCTGCTCACAAAAAAAGAAGATTTGTTTTGCTTCTGCTGCTTTTAACTGCCAAATAAAACGACTAAGAGCCATGTCACTTAACATTCAAGACACAAAAACATATTTATTTAAATTTGTTACAACTTAAAACACGAGTTAACTAGTTCTTATACATGTCGCAGAGCACTTTCTCCATGGGCGTGTTGCCAATTGTGCGCTGAAAGTAGATGGACTCGATCTTGTGGGAGCTGATCATCCGCAGCAGTGGCAGCATGAGCAGGAGTCGTCCGAATCTGGCAATCTGGGCTGTGAACTGCGTCTTTGTGTGTTGCGACAACATAACCTGATAGATAAACTTATTAGTTCACATCACCTATTCCCATATATAGCATACTTACATGCGCCTGATCCTGGAGATTCTCAATCTGCGCTGGATCCTTGAGGCCACGTGTCTCCGGTCGAAACAAAACAATTGCCTTGAGGCAGGCAAATTCAGCAGGATCAACCAGCACCGCCTTGTATTTGCAGAAGATCTCGTGAAGCGTACGCACATCCGCCGCCAGCTGCCAAAAATGTAGGTTCAATTAAATAAATATCAATTAAATAAAGTTTGCCATAACATACCTCTTCCTTTGTGATGCAAGTGTCGCCATTGGCGTTGTTCTCCAGATTGTTACAGTGCTCCGCCACCGAGAAGAGGGCACAGCCCGTGGGATCCAAGGGGATGCACCATTGGATGGCATTCAGCAGGAACAGCTCGGACCAGGACTCCTCCAGCAAAATAACCTGATTAAAAAAGCGTGTTTTATGAATATTCCTAATATCCGAACTAACAACATTTAAAATTAATTCATTAAGCTGAAAACAAGAATCAGGAATATACCAGTTTTGGCTTTTTTATTGGCTACTTTTGTTCAGTAATATACTTAAAAATGCATCTTTAACCCAAACTAATTTAATCTTTTTTTTTGTTAATATCATTACTAATCAATTGCATATTTATAGATCAGTTAAGAATTGAATAAATCTCCTAAAAGTATTAATTGCCGTTCTATTTAAACAAATAGTATTTTAAACTTAAAAAATACTATATGCCGAATGTTAATATTATATAACTCTTAAAATGGTATTCATCCTTGTTTATCAAAGGCTCAATACTAGCTTTTACCATTAGATAATATTTAATCATTTCAGCCCACCTGATCCCGAAAGGAAAGACGCGCAAAGCTGGGCAGGTTCTTGGCCCACTTGACGGCCATGAAGAGCAGCCGAGCACTTGTCTCATAAACGGTTTCGTGCTGATGGGCATACAAATTGGGCGACATAAACTGCGGCATGATGAAGCTGGAATCCGATCTGCTGACAGTGTGCGGCTCCTCGTTGTCATTGGTTACATCTATGGAGTCATCTGCAGATAGATGTACAATAATATAGTTTATACTATTGATATATATAAATATTTTGATTGAAAAAACAACGGGGGTGGTGAGAAAGTCCCCCGAAAGAGTTAAACTTAGCTTAAGTTATGAACGTTAAGTTAGCAATTACATCTACAAATAAATACCCTATGTAAATCCTTTTTTTTTTTTGATAAGTTTTTTTTAAGTCTGTGAGGGTGATTTAGTATATTATAAATACCTAGCATTATTATATTTTATTAATGTATAATTTCCTATGTAAAAAGCGTTCACAAACAGTATACAAATAATTATGAACTCTGACAGAATATAAATAATTAATCGAGTATATGTTAAAAGCATTTAATATCTTAATACTCAAGACTCTATTTTAGATACCCACCATCATTGTCATTTTCCATCGTGGGACTGGAGGAGCTGATGGAGGAGACACTGCCACCGGCATTGTTCTTCTCCTTGCCGTTTTCCGGAGTCGGTGAGCTCGGGTCGATGGAGTGGTTGCTGCTCGAGTTTGTGGAGTGGGAGGCGTTACCGCTGTTGGCCAGATCCATGCCATAGGCCTTCTCCTTGGGCGAGTGGTGAACGGAGGCGGCGTTGAACATGGGAAAGCTGCCGGCGCCCATGTGATTCGCAGCCAGCTGCATCGAGGAGGTGAGGTGGTTGTGGTGCAGCAGTCGTCCAGTCGGCAGGCTGCCCAGTGCTGTTCACGGATCAAGAAAGTCGCGTGGGAAGGGCATAAGTTAGGGCCAAAACTATCAACTGGGGGGCAGTGGCTACTCACAGGGCGGTGGCAGGAGTCCGGAGCCGTAGCAGGGCGGTGACAGTAGCACGGGTGGTCTGCAAATTGGAGTTGCCCGCAGATTTTGGGCGGTTAGATAGACTTATGCAGATGACAGCCCAGCCACACCACACGCACTCAGAAAAATTACTTAATAACAGTCAACATTTAATATTCTTCAAAAATAAAACATAACACAAACATTGACGATAATTAATTTGAATCCATTTTAAAAATAATAATTCATTTTTACTTTCTGATAAATGTAAAAATAAAAAAAAACATCATGAACATTGCGGATTCGAAAAGTTAAAATTAATAGCAAACAAATGGTATAGTTAAATTATTTTTGAGGATTTTATAAGTGGATGATTTCTTAGTTTGAAAACAAAAAAACAAATATAATTATTTTCGATCCTTAGAATTATTTAATCTGTTTCATTAGTTTTATGGTTGACGAAAAATAATAATGAATATTATATATTTAAAATAGGATATTAGAATGAATACATTAAATGATTAAAAATTGTTTTCAACATAATTTCATTATTAAATGAATTGATTTTAAGAAAAGATAGATGTTTAAGAAAGCATACACAAAAATAAATACACACTAAGAGTTCAAGGATAATAAATCAATAAATATTTTAAGGCTATATAAATATTGTCAATAATATAACAATATGAGCTTTGTTAGCTATAATTTTTCAAGATAATTCACATATTATGAAAATGTAGTTTTTTAATGGGCAAAAGTGCCCACCTAGGTGCTAAAACCTTTCATATCATTAGTTTTTTTGTGTGTAAAAAAAGAGTTATAAAAGTCATTAGACTTTCAATATTTGTATGGAATTCTTTTTGAGTGCACGGGCGTGGAAACACATACTTACCCGAAAACTCCGACGGCTACGGCGGCCTCGCGCAGAGCCCGTCCATGTTCCATCTCCCGCAGCGTCTCCGGTCGAATAGTGGCCGTGTTGCGGGGCTGCCGCTCATTTTGCACGGCTGTAATTGGAAAACAAATGCAACTAACATGAGCACTCAGCGGAGTCTAGATGGGACGTGGACGTGGACGTGTCCGTAATGAGGAAATGTCACACTGATAAAATCGCTTCGAGGCGCACAGGTATCGCAGGCCCAAATCTAGTCGCGTGTACCTCGTCCTCGTCCTCGCCTTTCCTCATCAGCATATGAAATCACCCGAGGACTCGACGAGGGGAACAAGGCCATCCATTGATGGCAAATTGGTTTTGCGGTCACGTGCCGTTCACGCCCACAAATTGTTTCGCCATTTGTTTATGCAATTTCACCGCACAATGAGGCTGGGCCACAAAAGCTACTTCGCGCTAATGGCGGATCCGCAAACTGTGGCTATTTTCCATACGAATCGCATAATTTACGGGTAAATTAAACGAGCCATCATAGAGTTGGTATAGAGTGTGAAATGTCCCTGGTGAGAATATATGGTGTGAAAGTCACGACTCGAATGTGAATTGATATGGATAAGTGGATGGACCTATAAGCTTTGATACTTAAGTTCTCAACACTATCAGGCTCATTGCTTTAAAGGTTATGAAATTTAATTTCTCAAAATAATTAATAACTTTTCTTTAAACTAAAACAGTGATAATATGATTGTATAGGTATATATTGCAAACAAAAAATAATCTTGCTAGAGTATAAAAAAAACTTTAATGTAAGGCCTTGGAATACAAGTTATTAAAGACAATTTCAACATACGACATCAGTTTAATTTTATTATTACACATTATCACATTATTATACAATTAATTTATGTATAGATAAATGTGACTGAGCTTCATAAAAACATATTAAAGATGTTTAATAAAGATATTTACAGTAAACTAGTAGGAAGAAACCTATTGAGCAAGTTTGCCTTATTCATAAATCCCTAGTGACTTTTTAGTTGCAAAAAGGTAAGCACAATCGATTCGTATTGATTTTATAAACCTGAACCTGAGTGACGGCTGCTGTTTGTCTATTTACTATTCAAGAAATCTAGCCACTGTTCGCTCAAAGTTTCTGCAGCCATCAAAACAATGAGGAAAACTTTCAGTCAAAATGAACAATTGGGGTGCAGTGAAGTGGCAGCGCTAAAGCTGCATAAAATCTGTCAAAGACAACACGAGCAGCAGGTAACAAATCAATTGGGTGAGCAATATGTAAATAAGGCGAAGGGAGCACCCGCACCCGCACCCGCACCCAGAGGTGAACCACCCCGAAATGAGATGATGTTCCCTGATGAGGATTTCATCGGGTTCGTGGCAAAGGGTTCGAGTTTAGATACGTAAATGCTGGGGCACGTGTGGCCGGGCTTTTGAGGTCCTGTTAAAGACCAATTAAACGTGCTTCAGTTCATTAGAGCGGGTGGAGCTATGATAATATGCAGAAGTGAGTAGTAGTGAGTAGTACCCACCATCCTTGTTCATTCCCATTTGAAGGCACTTCTTGAGCCTGCAGGCCTGGCATTGATTCCGATGGGCTTTGTCCACCACACAGCGTCCAGTTCCCGCCTGGCAGCTGAAAAAGAAATCAGATTCAATTAAAATAGTGCCAGGAGACATAATCAGGTTATCCTGGGGCGATAACGAGATTTGTCGTATCAAAAATTGCAACATTTGTCGATTTCGGCAGCAGACTAAGGCCAACCGAGCGTAAATCCAGCCACAAAAGCACTTCTGAATCTGCTACATATATACAGGACCTCCGCTTCCATTGCATCGACCTCTGGTCTAGTCCTTTTGTCCTGCCCTCGTGGAACTTTAATCAAATCAGGGCTAAGTGGCGTGTTCTGAACATCCCACCCACGCAAATCCCTGACTCAGAACCACTTTTAGCCCAGTCATCGCCTCCCTTTTTGCCCACTAAGCCTGCGCCAAAACTCAAAGATGGCCAACGCTCCTAGAAATCTCGAGTCGCCCGTTTCGCTTCCATTTTATGTGCTTCGTGGCGCCTCGGCTCAAATCACTTAGCCAAATGTATCCTTCAGACACAGCCCTTGTGTAAAAGTATATAATTTAGGTATTTTGTGTATGCAAATGTCCGGTTTTCGTAAACAAATCAAGTAAATTGGATATGTGTGAATGGGCTTTCTCATTCCGTTGGAATACCAACTTGTGTGGGTCAATAAAAATAATCACATAATATTGCCATTTCTCATACCAACAAACTTCCAGAAATAGACGATGAACACACCACTTTATGTATACCAAAACTACGGTGAAAATGGCCTCCAGAGTGAAGACACAAAATGGTTTAAGCCTTGATACTCTAGAGATTTTGTTTTCTATTCTTTAAAAAGGATTTTTTTTAATTGAATAGACATTTTAAAATAATTTTAAAAACTTTTAAACAACCATTCCTAAAAATAAAATTTCTAGTTTTCTACTAATTCACTTACTCGAAGTTTCTATATTTCGCAAACGCTAAAAAAAAGTATAATGAATTCAAAAACTGAAAGTTCGAGAGTTTTAACTTTTATGTGTCTTAAAATATAGATAAATGATCGATTTAAGTTGAAACAATTAGATGCAATACCTATAACAGGTGTTATACCAATTATTATTAATAAATATAAGTATCTAAAATGTTACTTGTGGATAAATGAACACCTTTACAAACTGGACAATATATTTGAAATCATAAATGTTTTTTTATAGATGTAACAAAAATTGTATAGATTTTTGAAATTCCACAGAATTTGAAAGTTCGGATTGAAAGCAATTGATTCCATAACAATCATAATAAACAAATATAAATATCTTAACTGTTACTTGTGGATAAATTACAAGCCCACCAAATTAGATAAAATATATTTATAAATTCCAATAAGTAATTTTTAGCTGTAAAAAAAACGGTATAGATTTTTATCATGTTGAAAGAAAATTCCGGCGAATAAATTCGAAAGTTCTGATTGGAAGCAATTGATTATAATTGAAAACGGCTTAATGGGACCACCGGAGACAAGGACATAAAAAGGACCAGGGGCCAGATTGACTCTGTCGGCAATCGGAAAACAAGTCACGTCGGTGAGAATATACACTAGACCTGTTCCCCGTTCGTATCCCTTTTCCATGTCTGTAGTCTGGAGTGTATGCCTCGCTTAGTCATTCCCTTGCAGGGGAGGATGTTGCTCTATTTTATCTAAAGAACCGCCCCCATTTTTTGACTTTGTTGCGATTCGGCTTAGTCGGTGGGCAAAGAAGAAGATGTCGGGAGTTTGGGTGAGGGGGATTGAGGGAGGATGAGGGTGCCGGGTCACATTTGGCCAAGTGTTTTGCGCTTAAGCCCTCCATATCAATCTCATGGGACCGCTGGGATATAGAGATTTCGACGTTTGTGATTTACCGCGCCTGCCGGAAAAGAAAACCGCAGCACAAAATATACATTACTGTATCATAACTTTATGTTTTTGCTGCCATTGATTCTGAATCTGTCGTTTTGGCTTATGGGATATTCGGCTGATTTAATGATAGTTGAAAACCTAAAACAAACTTTGTTCAGTTTTTGATTCGTATATTTGTGTATCCCGCTTTTTATACCCTTGCAGAGGGTATTATAATTTCAGTCAGAAGTTTGCAACGCAGTGAAGGAGACATCTCCGACCCTATAAAGTATATATATTCTTGATCAGCATCACTAGTAGAGTCGATCTAGCCATGTCCGTCTGTCCGTCCGTCTGTCCGTCTGTCCGTCCGTCTGTCCGTCTGTCCGTCCGTTTATATGCAAACTAGTCTCTCAGTTTTAAAGCTATCTGCATGAAACTTTCCCAAAAGTTGTCTTTCTATTGCAGGTAGTATATAAGTCGGAACGAGCCGGATCGGACGACTATAGCATATAGCTCCCATAGGAACAATCGGAAAAATAAATGAAAAAAATTATAACTTTGCTGTTTTTTAATTTTTTGTTTAGTTCTTGGACATATAGCAATGGTTAAATAATTCAGAATTATGGTTTAAATTTCATCAAAATCGGACGACTATAGCATATAGCTCCCATAGGAACAATCGGAAAAATAAATGAAAATAAATTATAACTTTGCTGTTTTTTAATTTTTTGTTTAGTTCTTCGACATTTAGTAATGGTTAAATATTTGCGATTTACGGTTTAAATTTTATCAAAATCGGACGACTATAGCATATAGCTCCCATAGGAACAATCGGAAAAATAAATGAAAAAAAATTATAACTTTTCTGTTTTTTAGTTTTTTGTTTAGTTCTTCGACATTTAGTAATAGTTAAATATTTTCGATTAACGGTTTAAATTTCATCAAAGTCGGACGACTATATCATATAGCTTCAATAGGAACAATCGGAGAAATAAATGAAAAAAAATTATAATTTTTCTGTTTTTTAATTTTTTGTTTAGTTCTTCGACATTTAGTAATGGTTAAATATTTCCAATTTACGGTTTAAGTTTCATCAAAGTCGGACGACTATAGCATATAGCTCCCATAGGAACAATAAAAATATATAAAAGACCTATCAAATAATTGAGCTGCAAATCATCATAGCTTCAATGTTTTTAAACATATACGCAAGTAAATTATAATTTTAATGTTTTCAAAAATGTTTAATTCTTGCAATAGCTGCAAGGGTATATGAACTTCGGCTTGCCGAAGTTTGCTTTCTTTCTTGTTATTTTTGGTTTCGCGCATTTCAACGTTGAAATAAAAAGTTTTAAACGAATTCACTTTAAATTCAATTACATTTTAAGCTGCAATCGGGGGGAGAAAGTTGAGTGGCATCCGCACATGATGCCATTCTGGGCACAAAGTCAACGCGAGGGCAAATATGCGCATTCAAAAGTTGACGCTCAAATCCCAAAGATTTGAATAATTGTAATGAATTTGGCAGAGTTCCGTAATCCGCCAGACGGGCCTCCAGGCACAGCAGCCCACTCCTCCAGCACCACCCACTTTGGGCAAATGTTGCAACATTTAATGGAATTGAAATGGTAATGACCGGACTTAGGACCGCACTTAAATCTACACAGACAAAAGCGTAGTGATTAATTTGTAGTATATCAAAGAACTTTATGCTTTCAACTCTGATCATGCCGTTAAACAACCTTTTTTTTTGTTTTTCTAAACATTTTTAAAGATTTTAAAACCCAGTTTCAGAACCGTAAATCGTACGATCCAACTATAGTATATTCTGTTCTGTTGCGTTTCATATTATATTTAAACTGAATAAGTAGCTTCAGTTGGTAAAGTTTATGAAAAAAACAGGATTTAAGAATATTTACCAAATATTTTTGTATAAATATTCATTGAAATTTGTTCATAGTTTTCAAAACATTATTACGGAGGTTAAGTTTTAAAAACATTCTCACAAAGTTTAAGATATTTATGTACCAGAAATATGGTAATGTTTTCTTTAATAAAAAAAGTATGTTTTTGTATTTAGATGTAATTGAAAAATGAACACCCATTTATTTTGTTTATTATGTACCTTTTTTTATAAAACAATTTTTTTCTCTGTTTACCCACCGATAAATGAGTTTCCGGCGCACACTGCGCTTGAAGAATCCGGAGCAGCCATTGCAGGCGAGGATTCCGTAGTGCTTTCCGGAGCTGGTGTCGCCGCACACCACGCAGATGAGGCCCAGATTCTGGCCCTTAATCCGGGTCATCGAGGAGGACTCACTGGCCGACGAGTGGTTCATGGAGTTGGCCGCCGCTGCTGCTGCTGCGGCCGCTGCAGCGGCACTGTGGTTCCAGCTCAGCAATCGACCAGCGGGCACGTTGGGGGCGGCGGGATGAGGGGGCGGTGGTTGTGAGGGCGTGGCCACGCTCACTGATGTCGGTGGGGGCGTATAGCAATGCCGCGGGGGGCTGTGGAGCTCTGAAGTAATTCAAAATATTAGTATGCTACAAAATTTATTTAATACAACTAAATTTCAATTTAAAACAAGACATTTAAAAGGAAATTGTATTATGGTTTATTGGTATAGCAATTAAAAACAGGTTTTCAAAAAAATATCCGATATTGTTTAATATTCTACTAATTATAAGTGTGTTTAATAAAAATATTGAAGTTCTAATTTAATTTTCCCACGATACGTCTTAAATTAAATTGTCCAAATTGATCAAGGTAGAAGGAGTATGCTAATTCGTGTTAACTGATATTTATTAAAGAAAATTTGACCCACCAGAGGCAGAACTAATCTTTTTTTATTATTTGATCTCATTGAAGCATAAACCATTTCAAATTTCAGATCTGATTTTAGCTTTTTTCCCTTTCCCTTTCCCGTGGTAATAAAAAATCACTTATGTAGTTCATTTAAATTAAATCCCAATTTGTCAGATGTACCGGATTGCGAAGGAAGGAGAAGTGGAAGGGGAAGAACCTGCCGATCTTATCCCTGCGTGGCGACATTGACGCCCTGTAATCCGCAAATATATTTACACATTCAATTAGGGTGCCATTAAGCCAAACGGCTCTCGACCAGAGCGTGCCGAGCAATCTGTGCGCAAAATTTGCCTCGGGGGACGATTGTTTTGCCATCACACCCTAATTTGATTGTAGTTTCCTTACTGATTTTTTGATGCACTTAACCCTCGAAGGACGAGGAAGAGGACGAGGACACATTTGTTACACTCGCCACTTGGCTGTGCGATGGACCATTTCCAGGGTTCCTGGTTTTTGGTTTTGCTTTTCGGTCCGGATTCAAAGACAAAGTCAGAAGGCCTTTCAGCCTTTCAGCCGGTACCAACTGGCAGGGATCTGCGGTCTAATGCCAGAGGATTAGCGTCATATGCTTGCATTTTCCGGGTCTCCGTCTTTGTTAATTTTATGAGCTCGTTGAAATTCACTTTGGCCCACTCCTGCCACTACTGCCAACACACAAAAGTGTTGAGGGCTGTGTTATGAATTTCTGAAATTTTTGGCGGCCTGACTCGAGGTCTAATTCAATTTGGTGATTATCGCAAATTGAATTTGCTCGGCCACTCGTGCATGCCATCAGGAAGTTGGGCATCGATTTAATTCGAGTGTCTCCGCAGACAACTCGTTACTACAAATTGGTAATTGAAATTGGAAATGTGTCATTAAAACAGCCAAATCCGTTTTAGGTTGGTTTCTTTTCAAGTTTTTTTTTATTTTTGTATTTCAAAAAAGGGAAAGGAATGGACAGTCCCTAGCTTTTTAACTGACCCTCCTGGTGATGCTGATTAATTTTACTTTCTTTATCATCAACTATCTGTGCTACAAATATCCAAAATAGAAGTATTTTGCGCCCACATTTTTACTCAATTTAAATACTTTTCGCTTTGATTTTCATCCATTGCTGTTTTTAGTTATTTTAAATATTCAAATATTACAATTTTTGAATACTTTCGGAACTAATTTTAATATCTGAAAATTTAATTTAAATAAAATAGAAACTATTTTAAACCTAATATGTTTTACATTAAGTTAAATATTTTAACAAATAATCATGAAATTTAATTCCAACATTATACATACTTTGAATTCAATTGTCAAATATTTATATATTATAATATAGTATACAATATATTTAATTTTAAAAATCCCCACCTAAGAATTGATTTCATAATGTTATTAGCATGAGTATACGTGGCAATGGAAAATATTATTTCACTATCAGGTTTAAAATATCAAAAGCGTTTAAACATTATTTTTTAATTTTTTTTTTTTGACAGACATTTGATATATAAATTTTTGCTTTTCCGGCATTTTAATTTCTTTCAAAAGAAACCCTTCATTTTTTCATATAACGTGACCTGATTAATCGTGGGAGTAAGGCGCCCGAAAAAAACGACTAATTATATTTCACAAACCATTTCCCGTAAAACGTGATATTATCCTTAATATAAGAAGCAAATATGGTTGCCCTTTTTTAGTTCTTTTCCATTAATCTTTTTATTTCTTTTGAAACAATTAAATAATTTGATTTTCAGATGGGAAAACACTTTTTTAATAACTCTGATTTAAAAGATTGATAGTTTTTATTTAAGTCATATGTGTACACTATCTATTTTTAAGAAAAATATTTTAGCTTCTCAATTTTTAAGTACTGTTTTTCATTTAATACAATGTTTTGAACAATTTTTATGCAGTTTTTTAGTTATATTTTTTGTTAGATATTTTAATTTACCTTGAGATGAAGGGCGCGTTTCGGATGAGTTTTCTTCTTTATTCATTTTGTTGTTTGTTGTTGTAAAATTTCACGGTTTTTTTAACGTTCAGCAGCAGGCAACACTTTTATTTTGATTTTTTAAAGCCACACTTTTAAAACACACTTAGCTCCATGATTATTTTAACCCGTGGTAAAGCGACGGCAACTGTGGAGTCCTGTGAATTCCGCTAATGAAACCGACCAAATCCGATCCAAACCGACGGCACTGCGACTATGCGGCGATGATGTTAACGTCTCGATGTACGATTTCAGATTCCGGATTTCAGATTTATCATAAAAGCGTGACAGGAGCTAAACAGTGATGTGTCCACTCCAGCAGTCGGCCAACCAGCCAACGGGCCAACCCCAGACTAGGAAAAAACCATATCGCAGGATATAATCCGCGGTCGCTGAGTGGGCAGCAGAGGGGTTCGAGTGTATGTACGTGTGTGTTTGTGAGGACAAAAAGCACAGCACAGCACAGCACAGCATAGCACAGGACACACACTAACACTAACAGTAACACACACACACGCACACACCACTAGCAAGAGCAGAGAGCATCGAGCATCGAGCAGCGAGCAAGGAGCAGTGAGCGAAGGATAACCGCATCCGCACACTACCCACCCGCCCACTTTGTTTTGCAAAGGGGAACGGAGACTTTTAGTGGCAACTCTGGTGGCGCATTTGCTTGTTGGCTTGCTTTGATTCGTTCCTTCTTGATGCTGCGGCAGCAGCATGTCCTTGCTGCCATGTGTGTATGTGTATGTGTGTGTGTTTGACTGTGAGTGTGAGTGTGGGTGGGTGTGTGTGGGTAAGCCAAGCCACAATCGCAATCTCCAATAAACACCCGGCTCTGCGCTCTCTGCGCACACACACAATCAGAGAAGCTTCGGCCGCCATCATGACTTAAAAAAAGGAGCAAGGAGCAGAGAGGCGAGCGGAAACGGAAATGGAAGTGGGGCAGGGGCAGAGCAATGGTGGCTCCCCACCAATACAAATACACTCACACCCACAAACTGGGCGACGCAGCTGCGCGGCTCTGCTGCTCGTATAATCGTCTTGGGTTTTGACATTTTGTTTTTGTTTTATAATACCCTTTGTGATGTCGGCGCTTTCCTTTCCCCTTTCCCCTCTTTCCTCTTGACCCTCTTCCAACGACGTCACTCTTGGCCTCGTCTTCTGGCCGCCTTCTTCCTCCCCTTCCCCACACAATAGCACCCTCTTCCGTCCACAATTGCCACCTCCCAGTTAACTGTAATTGAATTGAAGAGAAAATTGTTTTTGCTCGTTGCTCTGTGGGCGTTGGTGTGCATGTACTAGAATCTGCATAAAGTATACCAAAATTTATAGCCCAAGGAGTTTAGAAAAGCAATCATGGATTTATTTATGTCCAAATTAAATTCGTTTTAAAATATTTAATTTTTACTTTTAATATCCATAGAGTATATTAAGATTTATTTATTATCACATAAAATAGTTCTTTAAATGCGTAGTATTTAGCGATAGAAAATAATCCTTATTTGAGAATAATCGTTGGTTTTAAATCAGCTATATTGAAAGATAAATAGTTTTAAAAACCATGTAGTCTCAAAGCCAATTGTTTTTGTTCGTCTGTTTTGTTTAGATATTAAAGTACTACTGTTCTATTGTTATATAATTAAAAATTAAAAATGTATTTTTAGATGTGTTACTAACCTTTACCTTTATATTCAGTTTTTCGATTTTTAAATGTTTTTTGTCTTAATATCTATTTTTTAAGTTCCTTTTTTTTACCATGTTAAACTCTTTAATGGCCCTACCGTTTATCAAAAAAATTTAATACACCCCAGTAATTATATATTAAAACAAAATACGTTTTTGGTACGTTGAAACGCGAGCTACTCTTAATCAAAACTGGAATAATGTTTAAAATATCAAAGTCGTCTTTTAGAAGACCTATGCAATTCTCTTATAAATAAATATTCCCATTACTCTTGATAAACATTAAGAAATCAATTTTTGTAAATATTTCTGATTTTCTGATTTGTATTGTGAAACGGAGATCTAATAACATTTTAGCGTACTTTCTAAATTATTAAACAACTAAATCACTTCATAAGGATGGAGTAGTTCGTTTTTTTTTATTTTGTATTAACTGAAGCATCAATGATTTTGATTGTGTAATTTTATTACCTTTTTTGTATTATAACTTTATGGATTATTGCAAAGCGCTGTTTTGCAAGGCTTTATTCAGGGATAGCTAAAGTTGGACCCGGGTCCACTAATCCAATAATCGATAAATGTTGCCTGCAGGCTGGAAGTGGAAGTGGATGTGGAAGTGGGTGGTATGGGTGGGGATTTACGGAGAAGGTTCCTCCGTTCCGCTCCCCGATTTCGTTGTGAGGCTTTAGCCATGCTTAATGCGCCGACATTAACTTTGTAACAAATGAGATGTCGGAATACAACAGTCAGGATCCTGCCAAGCCGCAGCCTCTCCTCCCGCTCTCTGCTCCGCTCCTTTCTCCACTCTACTCTCACTCTCTCTCTCTCTTTGGGGGGGAGAAAGCAAGAGAGCAGCTGCGGCTGGCAGAAGTTTATGCTCGGGACAAAAGTGAACAAATGCAAAAGTCAAAGCGCTTTGCCGCCATAGCCACGCCCACAACGTCGAGGGAGGAGCGAGAGAGAGCGAGAAAGAAGGAGAGTAAGAGAGAGAGAGCGGCGTTATCCTGTAATAACCGTGCATCAAGGATAACCGGCAGTGCGAGCGGGACAGCTGATGCCGTGCGAGCAGGACGAAACGAGGCGACAGGGTTGGTTCTTGACATTTGAACGGCGACATTTCGCATTGCCAGGATACATACACGAATACACCCACACATCGGCAAATCTCTGTGAATCCCAACAACCCAGTGGTGAATGGAAGGGGGTGGAAGAGGGGGCGGAGGGCTGCGAACCTCATAAAGTGCAGTGCACTTTATTTAATCAATCAAAACTCATGAGCGACTCTTTTATTCAACATTCAGACACTTTGTATCTTTGATTTACTTTCCGGTCAAGTAGGATTGTTGCGGTCTGAAACATTTTTTTTTCAATAAATAAAGCATGGTATTTATATGCGTATAGTTGACATTTAAATTTTAAAATAGTTTTTTTTAATATAATAGAGGTGGACTAGCTTAGACACTTGTAATAAAACCAACCCCGAGTCTGAAAGCCCTTTGTTTATTTTGTTTACCTAAAAAGTTGAAAGTTTTTAAGTTCATTAATGGCTAAAAGAATGTAAATAATGTGTACTGGCCAGTTAACATGAAATCTCATGCTCTCTAAAGCTTTTATTTGTTTAGTCGCCAACCCAAACTGAGTTTTAAATAAGCATGTTAGATTATCAATATTTCCAAGATTATAATTGAAAGAAATTATTGTATTTCAATTTTTAGCCTATCAAAAAATTCAATAAAAATTGGCAAAACTTTAACCTAAGACCCAAATATAAATATTCATTTATTTGCCATTTATTTTTTCAGTCAAATTGCATCCTTAAGTTCAAACAAAATAGATCATTTTGATTTCCAGTCATAACAAGATAATAGAATACAATAAACAAAAACAAAAAAATATTTGAAAAAACCTAACCCAATTTTTATTGGTATTTCCTGTCTTTGATTTACATTTTGTTTTCTTTTCAACTGACCTATTTTTTACCTATTTTTTCTACCATCTAAAGAAAAAGTAAAAAGAATCTTACAAGGACAAGACAAGGACGCGTGTTAAAAGATATTTACAATACATGGTAATGATGGTTTGTTTATTTTATCTGTCACTATTAAATTATAATAGGTAATTAAAAGTCTAATCTTCATATTGACTATTTTTTGCGATCTGGTATAAAAATAGACAGTGCTCGCTTTCGACTGTTAAACTGTTAAGAATATAATTCAGCATGAAATTAGTGGTAAGGCAACTAATCGGTGAAAACATAATCCTAGACTTAAAATTACTTAATATTTTATAAATTGTCCTGTTTGCGTTATTGGACGCTGTATTGGTAAGACATGGATACGACGGAGGTTATGTCGGACCCGCTGCAGTGCGAGTTCATGGAAGATACGGAGACTCAGAGCCACGTATTTACAGACCAGGTTATCGGATTCAGGAATATGACGGCGGACAAGAAGAATACGGAGGCAGACAAGAAGGATACGGAGGCTCAGAGCCACGTATTCACGGACCGGGCATGAAGGACATTACGAACAGTATGGAGGGCGCTACTAAATTGTCCAAATTTAAACAGTAAGTAAAAGCAATCATATAAAAGAATTTTCAAAACTTTGTTTACTCCATTCAACTGCGCTCATCTTAAGGTTATCAGCAGTTTTTTTTTAATCTTATATCAGAGAGCATGCAGAGAGATTTAAGCTTTTGATTGCCACTTTTAATTCAGGTTTCCCTTAACATTACAATACTATACAGCTAAACATCAATATCAATATAAATATTATTTCGCAACTAGGATTGTTTGTTTAAACGTCTTAATCTTAATTCTGATCAAAGAATTTTACATTTTAATCGATAAAATAAAAATATAATATATTTACTAAAGAAAAGCACTTGTGGCCTTTTTATTAAATTAAAAAAAAACACTTGTGGTGCTTTCTCTGTCTGTGAAAGATATTTAATTGTATTATATTATAATATTATTTAAAGAACGTAAATACCTTTAAAACAAGGCGGTTATTCTCATAAAAAATAACAAGTTTTCATAAAAAGTTATTCAAATAAAAACTTAATACAAAGTAATTTTCCTGGTTTGGGCTTTAATCGTTATAAAAATACTGGTGAGTAAGCTAATCGGTAAAAAATCATTCTTAATCTAAATTGGAATACATTACCCTTTCTATCGACTACTTACCTTGCTGTTTTTCTGGCCAGTCCTCATGATTTCACGGTCAGGGCGGATTTGGCCGACAAAATGGAATGAATGCGGATATGGTGGTTGTCACAAAGGTTTTTGGTGTCATTAAATCGCAGATTTTTAAACGATGTATAAAAAGTCTTTGAAATAACAACAACAATTATTGTTTAACTAAAAAATACCCTCATATTTACATTAAGAGTTCTTTAATTTGGTTTTGAAAAGCTTTTTACTGAAATTTAAATCTAAAAAATGTTTCTTTCAAATGTTTGTTTGATTTTTGAAGGAACCTTCAAATACCTTCAAATTAAAAGCGAAATGTAAACACAATTGCTTTAATCTTGATTCTCGCTGTGTTGGCCTGTTAACACCCTTCATGACGTTCAAATACGAAGGCGTCTTCTTATGAACATCATATTCAAAACTCATCAATACAAAAATAAGAAAGCGCTTTTTTAATTTGTTTTTCAT